TTCCCATAAAAGAAAAAAAATATAAAAAGAGAGAGAGAGAGAGAGAGAGAGAGAGAGAGAGAGAGAGAGAGAGGGAGCGGGGTGAGACCAGCAGAGGCATGAATCCTGGAGGAGAAGAGGCGGCTCTTGGTCATTAGGAAGTCAAGGTTGATGTAGCTCAGACTGTAGAGCTCCACAAACTCCTTCGCCCTTGTGCTCATCGGCCTTGACAAGATTCACTCCCCCACGTCTTCCCCTCACCATTTCACCTTGTCGACGAATAGACGAAGGAAACTTCCCCAAACAATTGCCCCTTCCACTGCCTGTCAACTCCTCTCTCTCTGTCTCTCTCTGTCTCTCTCCCCTCCCGTCTCTCCTCCCTCACCTTGAGGTAGGTGTCGAAGACTTGCCGCGTCGAGATGAAGTTGGGCGTCAACTCGGCGACTTCGCCTGCGCATCTGACGCTTAGAGAGCAAGAGCATTCGCGCACGCGCTACCTGACACCACGATGAACATCTCGTTTGCCTCCTCCCCTGCGTTGAAGATCGCTTCTTTTGGCAGCTTCAGCACCAACTGCAAGCGCATTACTTCCCCTCCTCCTCATCTCTCCTTGCACTTCCTTCCTCCCCCTACCCCCCATTGCTCTCTCTCGCGCCTTCTCTTGCGACCTCCAGGCGGCTCATGGCGAGGCCCATGAAGGAGTCGCTGAGCTTGTCGAAGATGTGGATGCAGCCGAGCATCTTGCGGTTGAGGGCCAACTTGATCTGCCTGCCGACAGCGAAGCCAGAGAGAGTCAACAAGGGCGGGAAGTGAAGCAGTGCAAAAAGAAAACCAAGAGGAGTGAGGAAGAGGAGAGAAGGAGAAGCAGGAAAATGGGCAGAGAGAGGAGGAAGAGGAGGAGGAAGAGAAGAGAAGGAGGAGGGGAAGAGAAGCAGCGGATGGTTTCTACATGGCGAGGTTGTCCGGTAGCTCTCGCAGGAGTTGAGACCTTGCGGCATCATCTAGAGCCATTGATGATTTCATTTTCCTACAAGGAGCAACGTCAGGTTCTCCCTGGCTCCTTCCTCCCTCTTTCTCCTCTCCTCTTCTCCCCATTATTCTTCCCTCTCCTCCATTCCATCACCGAGTCTTGAAGTGGAAAAAGCTCTGGACGCGATGCTCCAGCTTGCGGGAGATGCCATGCTCTCGCATGAAGTCTATAAGAGTCTCCATCGTCTCTTGCGCAACCTTCTCCCTGCCCCGCACTCATCTCCTCCTTCATCATCGTCCTCGTCCGACCAACACAAGCGACAAGAACAGCGAACTCAACAGGAACAACATGATGCACACGAAACGGCTGCGAAGCAGCTGCGGGGGCAGCATGCAGAACCAACAACAGAAAAAAACAGAGCAAATCAAGGTTTCAACATTCACGTGCAGATGGAGACCTCGTCATCAAGTTGGCTGCGAGAACTGCAGGCACAAGTTAGCGGGACAGGAGAAGAAGGGCAGGAGGACATTGAGAGACACACCAGACATGTTGGAGATCAAGATGGCAAAGAAGGAAGCTCCCAAGAGCATCATGAAGATGACATAGAGTCGCTCCTGTAGTGAGTGAGAATGATTGAGGTAGAGAGATGTTGAGGCGAGAGAAAGGGAGGAGAAGAACGAGAAAGGATGGAAGGATGTAACCAGTAAGAGAAGATAACAGGTGAAGGGATCGAGTAGCACTAGTGGAGACTCACATTGTCGTTGGTAGCCCCGATGTCGCCATATCCTACAGTCGTCAATGTTGCCATCATGAAGTAGACAGAAGTCTGTCATGGCGTCAGTTCCTCCTCCTCCCCCCCCCTCACCTTCTCTTCCCCCTCCTCCGTTATGTCCCATTCACACTAATACTCGCTGTCCCCTTCTCCTCCTCCTTCTCCTCCTCCTTCCTACATGTCGTCCTCACCAGGTATGGCGACCAGATCGGCGTTGCAAAATTGTTATGATCGCGAAACTCTTGGAGGGCGTCAGGAGAAGCGTTGTCGAGCTGCAGCAGGTCTGAGGCAGAGGAAGAGAGAAAGGAGAGAGACCTTGATCAGCCAGAAGAAGCATCCTCCCAGGTGAGCCCCATAGAAGACGATGAAGCCGGTCTTGAGTAACCGAATCATCGCAGGGCGCACGCGGAGAATGTCGCGAAGGACGTCGAAGATCTTGAGGACTTTGAAGAGACGAAGCAACCGGATCATTCGCATCGTCCTCAGATAACGATAAACTTTGCGATGCGAAGAGCTAGAAAGCTCCTCGCAAGAAACGTCTGCAAGAACGAGTTACCATCCTCATAGCAACTTCCATCCATCCTCTTCCCTCTGTTCCCGTTAAGAAAGATCCACTCTCCTTCTCTTCCTCCACACGAAAGAAAACAAGTTCCATTCAGATTCCCTTGCTCTCCACAGCCTCGTTCCTTGCTCACTGCTTCCACTGATCACATCTAATCCTACTTCACATCCTCCTGCTCCACCTGCCACCGCTCCTGCACCTGCACCTGCTCCTCCACACCAACCACCTTTTACTCACTCGGCACAGCAAAGAATTCGATCCAAGCCATAGGAACGGACGCCAGAAAGTCCACAGCGAGTTCATGCCGCGCCCAGACTCTGAGAGAGATTGAAAGCTCGTGTACTATCTCGCCATGCACGTCCGCCCCTGCCTGATGCCTCACGTCCGGTCCCTACTCCCTCTCCTCTTCCTCCCTCTTCTCTCTTCTCCCCTCTTCTCTCTTCTCCCCTCTCCTCTTCCTCCCTCTTCTCTCTTCTCTCTCTCCTCTCTTCCTCACCGGTCAGGCCGTGAATCAGAACTTCCAGCACAAAGAAAACATCAACGACTGCAACAGGAGGTCAAATGCAAGTCAAGATGCGAAGAAGCAATCATGCAACAAGTCAAGGAGCGCATCAAACACAATCAGTTAGAAGATCGAAGGTATCACAGAGATCAAACTTGATGGTTGGCGCCTGCCGACAGTATCCCTAAGATAAGCAAACCTCAAATCTCAGCGTTTAAACAGGAGCATCGGGAGGCGGGACGAATGAACGACAGAGAGGAGGGATGTGTCAGGGTTAAGTTTGAGCAGAGGCGAGAGGAGGAGGGTTTCTCACTTCTTTCTCTGAGTAGAAGGCGATGAGGAGCGGCGTGACCGCGCAAGTGTAAAGCTTCGGGGAAGTCAGCGAATCCCTTGATAAGGTCGGCATGTACCACGAGGAGACCCGACACGAAGTTCCACACCTGCAGGCAGCAACATCGGCTACACGTCTAGGTATGCACTCCCTCCACCTGAGTGAAGCGCGAGGATGGACTGATGGGGGCAAGCCAAGCCCTTGTGCCCGTGCCTTCTGATACGTAAGTAGCGTCAGGGGTTCCGAAGAATTCTCTAACACAGCAAAGTAAAGCCTCGGAGCGACTGATTGGCTTTTTGTTGCTTTCTGTAGCGTCATCAGTTTCTTCCAAGATCTTGGTCTCGGTTTCATCTTCGATGACGATGAAAGAACCCTTCTTGAGGATCACTCGTCCCTTTTCAAATGATTCAGAGTTCACCCCCCTTCCACTCGTCCCCCCGTGACTCCCCCCTCCTCCTCCTCCTCCTCCATGACTGCCGCTGCCGCTGCCTCCTCCTCCTCTTCCGCCGCCGCCGCTTCCCGCGCTGCCCAAGCTTGTGCTCGACATTTTGTCCTCCGCTACCCAGTGCCACCCCACCCCATGTCTTGCAAGCAACGCAAAGCTGAGGACAAAACCACAACCCCTGGTTTCTGTATCCCTCCATCCCCCCCCGCCCATCTCAGTGGCCTACCTCAGTGATGTCGCAATATATCTTAATGCTCGACTTATAACTTTGCTGACCTCTGGATGATACAGAAGAGTACAGAAAGTATCCCAACCCTCTAAGAAGTTTGTCAACTTTCTCCCCAAGTGAAGGTTGAAGGTGGGGTGGGGTGGGGTGAAGATGCGAAGGGTGACTGTCGGAATCAAGTCAAAAATGCGTAAAGCAGCGAAAGAGATTGAGGGGAGGGAGGGGAGGGGAGGGAGGGGAGGGGAGGGGAGGGAGGGGAGGGAGGGGAGGGGAGGGGAGGGGAGGCAGGACATGGACGAGGGCAGATTTGAACAGAAGAGCAGCGTCAAAGCTGTGAGTTGATTGTGAGGAGAGGAGTATCGACTCTCGTCATGCATATCTGACTACTTGAATGGGGCGAGACCGAATTGAAGTCACGAATGACTGCCATCTCAACTTCAGTTGCTGCAGCCGTCCAAGCACTCAGGCACAGGCAGTGCTTGAATCAGCGTGAGAGTTGCGAGATGAGAGCGACTGAAGTTTTGACCCTCAAAACGGGTAGGAGGGTTCATGTTGGCAGAACAGACTTTAGCAGTCACACACACATGTTGTATGCACAAAAGACACACGAGAAAGATTTCTTCAAACGTAAGAGACAATAGACAACGTCTTGAATCCATGGGATAAACGTCTTTAAAACTCAATCTTGAGACGGCAATATCACTCAAAGCTCAGGAAGGTGACATGAACAGGGACAGAAATACATGACGAAGATCTGTTCCTGCTGTCAAAGACGAAGATCTGTTCCTGCTGTCAAAGACGAAGATCTGTTCCTGCTGTCAAAGACGAAGATCTGTTCCTGCTGTCAAAGACGAAGATCTGTTCCTGCTGTCAAAGACGAAGATCTGTTCCTGCTGTCAAAGACGAAGCTCTGTTCCTGCTGTCAAAGACGAAGCTCTGTTCCTGCTGTCAAAGACGAAGATCTGTTCCTGCTGTCAAAGACGAAGATCTGTTCCTGCTGTCAAAGACGAAGATCTGTTCCTGCTGTCAAAGACGAAGATCTGTTCCTGCTGTCAAAGACGAAGCTCTGTTCCTGCTGTCAAAGACGAAGATCTGTTCCTGCTGTCAAAGACGAAGATCTGTTCCTGCTGTCAAAGACGAAGATCTGTTCCTGCTGTCAAAGACGAAGATCTGTTCCTGCTGTCAAAGACGAAGATCTGTTCCTGCTGTCAAAGACGAAGATCTGTTCCTGCTGTCAAACATCCTCTTTGAGGAATTCTTTCTTTCCTGTCGTATCATTCAGAAGCCCCTCCTCACGTCTTTCCTCACTCAACATTCTCCTTTCGCTCTCCTCCTCTCATTATTCGTCGCTCTTCTCCTCATGGCTTTTCTTCCTACTCTCTACACTTGAAGAGGTTGAGGGCAGGAGGAAGACGAGGAAAAGCAGCAGAGGAATGAGCGTGAGATCAGGAGGACTGGGAGGACGAGCAAGTAAGGAAGAAGAGGGTGAGTTCGGGTGCTGGTAGACAAGCTTGAGGAGGGTGTGGAAGAGGAGGGGCAAGGGAGGCGAGTAGGGCCGTACCATCCTCATTCTTCTGCGACATGTTTCCCGCCCTCCATTTCAGTCTAATAGAATCTAATTACCGTTCGTTGGACCTAATCGCTTCCCTCCCTCCCTCGCCTCCCTCCCTCGCTCCTCTTCGCCTTCCCCCCCCTCCGCCTCCCCTTGCTTCCCTTCCCTTCCCCGTCCTTATCTTCAACTTCTGTCATCGTCCTTGTCTTATCTCATGTATGGAGCTCTCCATGCATGAGGCTTCCAATCACCGCATGGCGCATGCAACACTAACGTCATAGAGCGCTTGTATCTCCACATCTCCTTCACTGACCTCATAGAGCGCTTGTATCTCTGATTTTCTTTTGCTCTCCGCTCTCTGTTCCTCCTTGGCTCCCTAACTTGCCGTCCAGATGAATCCCATGGCGTATCAGGCGTCGCCCTTCAGCCCCTGGTCCTCTTGTGCTGTTTCGCTTCTCTGCTGACCCGATCGCTTCTCCCTCAGGTCTCAGGTCGCTCTCAACCCCAACATGATGACCTCTCAGCCTTCGCCGTATGCCCACCCCTACTACCTCAGGTCCCCTCCTCCCCTCCTCCCCTTCGCTCACAGCCTCCCGCAGCGCCAGCTACATGCCCATGTACACGCAGGCAGGGACGCAGTACATGTCGGTAGGAGAAGAGAGCTCTTGTACCGCAGACTGACTAGCATGCCAGTACCAGCCAAACTTGTTTCAGAGCCCCCAAGAGACCAGGTCGATCTCCTCTTCTTCTGCCGAGCCTGACGCGACCCGAAGCAGCAACACCGTCTACAAGACCATGAGCGCGAGCCAGCGGCACACCAACGACTTCTACTCTACCATCCAGATGCAGCCGTGGCAGCCTCACATGCAACTTGTTCCCTCCGATCGGTCGACGTTTCAAACCATACAGATCTTCAACGACAGACAAGGTTCGGGGAGAGCGGGCGAGCGACCCTCCTCATCTCCTTCATGTGCTCTAATGTGGTTGATGTGCTCTAATATGGTTGATGTGCTCTAATATGGTTGATGTGCTCTTATATGGTTGATGTGCTCTTATATGGTTGATGTGCTCTAATATGGTTGATGTGCTCTTATATGGTTGATGTGCTCTTATATGGTTGATGTGCTCTTATATGGTTGATGTGCTCTAATGTGGTTGATGTGCTCTAATGTGGTTGATGTGCTCTAATATGGTTGATGTGCTCTAATATGGTTGATGTGCTCTTATATGGTTGATGTGCTCTTATATGGTTGATGTGCTCTTATATGGTTGATGTGCTCTAATGTGGTTGATGTGCTCTAATATGGTTGATGTGCTCTAATGTGGTTGATGTGCTCTAATGTGGTCGATGTGGTGTAATATGGTTGATGTGCTCTAATATGGTTGATGTGCTCTAATGTGGTCGATGTGGTGTAATGTGGTTGATGTGGTGTAATGTGGTTGATGTGGTGTAATGTGGTTGATGTGCTCTAATGTGGTTGATGTGCTCTAATGTGGTTGATGTGCTCTAATATGGTTGATGTGCTCTAATGTGGTTGATGTCGCTCTAATGTGGTTGATGTGCTCTAATATGGTTGATGTGCTCTAATGTGGTTGATGTGCTCTAATGTGGTTGATGTGGTGTAATGTGGTTGATGTGCTCTAATGTGGTTGATGTGCGTGTAATGTGGTTGATGTGGTGTAATGTGGTTGATGTGCTCTAATGTGGTTGATGTGGTGTAATGTGGTTGATGTGCTCTAATGTGCTTGATGTGGTTGATGTGGTGTAATGTGGTTGATGTGCTCTAATGTGGTTGATGTGGTGTAATGTGGTTGATGTGCTCTAATATGGTTGATGTGCTCTAATGTGGTTGATGTGCTCTAATGTGGTTGATGTGCTCTAATATGGTTGATGTGCTCTAATGTGGTTGATGTGATGTAATATACTCCGCTAGGTAGGAGGTCCGGCAGCGCGGTGCCTTGGCCCGAGCAATTCACGAGGACGAGTGTAGCAGCAGCAGGGAGGTCGGGTTATGACAAGTCTCAGGCAGAGGAGGGGCCGCCTTGTAGTCCGAGCGGGCAGGAGCTGGGCAACGCAATGCCACCTCCTGCTGCAAGGGAGGCGGTTGCTCATGCTCGGGCAAGCAGGCAGACTGAAATAGTGCAAGAGGTGGGCTACCTCGTCTAGGACGAGACAAGATTGAGAAAAGGTGAACCCTCTGCGGCTCCAGACAAGGTTGGCACATGTCGATACTTCGAGATTCCAGGAAGAAAATTTAGAGCCCATGTCATCTCCCAGCTCTTGCCAGTCATGCCATTGTGCATCAGTTTCCTTCTATTCATTCAATAATACAAGATATCATCACTGGATCGCATTGACTTCGCCTCAAACAGCAGCAGAGGCCCCAAGCCAAGGTCTCATCCTCCCTGTCCTCTCTGACCATCTTCAGGCGGGATATCAGAGAGCTTCTCTCTGTTGCCCACAAGTCTCGATGGCCTCGCATTCGCTTCATCGTCTCTCCCGGCAAAGCTCATGAGCGATCTTGCTTGGGCAGCTCATCCAGCGCCTTGACGAAAGCTGCTCGTGCTCGCGCATATTTCTCTTGCGCCTGTACCAGCAGGACCCTGACGTCTTCCTCTCGCCTGCTGCGATACATCGCCTTGAGGGTTTCTTTTTCCTTGTAAGCTTCAGTGAAGTTAGTCCGCAGTTCTTCAACTGTATGCAGACGTTGAGTGGATGCGAGAAAGTCAGCGACGGGCTTGCTGCTTGCCTTCACTTGCTGAAGCTCCTTGGGCCTCGTCCAAGGCCATTGACGAGTTGTCTCTGCCATTTGCCTGGCTCGCTCGATGTCTTCGTCTCGACGGAACTCTCGTTTCTCTCGTTTCTCTTCTTGCAAGGAGTCGAACAGAGCAGTCACATTCATGATATCTCCCAGGCCGTACTTGCGCTGGAACTGCTGTCGCGGATCATAGCAGTGCTGACACGTCAAGAAGTGATTGAGATTGTTGTCTTTCCCGCATGTCAGGCAATAGACAATGTGGTCGCCGGTCTCTATCAGGTACCCGCCTTCCCTTGCAAGCAGCCAATCAGGTTTCTCTCCGATTCCTTTGTTTTCGTACAGCGGGACATAAGCAAAGTTTTCTCGTAGCAGCTCGAGGTTTGACTTCTCTTCCTGCTCCGGAAAGAAGTTGTCTCGCTCTTCCCACACCTTGGGTCTCCCGTTCAGCCCCCACAGACTTCCGACCCCTCGGTTGCGAAAGAAGCTCAGCCTGGCGTTGGAGGGAAGAGGAGGTCCAACCAGGAGGTGGCTCAACCTCTTGTGCATGAAGACGCTGTCCTCCACCAGCACGGAGCAGTTTTGGCTTACAAACACACTCACAACATTCTGCATGAAGGTGCACTGACTCGCTTTCACGCTCGACTTCCCAGAGGCCTTGAGTGCACTGCCATCCAGCAAGCCTGTCATCGATAGCTCGCAAGAATGCAGAGACGCTCTGCTCGTTTCTATGGCCACCAGCCCGTTACTAGCTCTGAGGTAATCCTGATTGGCATCGGGCTCGTAGGGGTCGAAGGTGATCCCTCCCACCACGCTCTTCGACATGTCCACTCGGCTGTCTCTCTGGCAACGAAGGACCTGCATGCCGGAGGCCTTCAGCTCGCACATCCTCACCACCCAGGACCCACCATTGAGCAGCATAAGTTCTCGTCCATCCACGACGATGGTGCTGTACCGGAAAACAAGGTCGGTGAAGGACCCCGAGCACCGCGGGTGAAAGTCCCACTGGCCATCAAGGACCGCCTGATCGCCTTTCAGGTGAACTTGCCCTCCCTCATGTGGTTCCATACAGAACTCGCGCACTTTATCTCGTCGTCTCCTAAGCCATGGGCTCATGTACCGCCAGTCCCACATGTAGAGGCCCTCGGCGATCCTGACATGCTTGTCCCCTCTGAGCTGCATCACGTATCGCAGCGTCTCGTTGCTGCTGACGTCATGCTGGCTCATCATATGGTGGAGGTTTGGGGAAGGAGCCGTTGGACAAGAGCGAGAGCTCGTGTCTCTTCCTACCTCTCCCGTTGCGAGCAGCGCATGTAGCAGTGCCGCTGCCATGACCCGCCCTCTCCCCCCAAGCATGGCAATCCAGTCGGAGGTTTCACTAGTCCCTTCACTCAATTCGCTCTCGGACAGCCGGGCCCTACCGGGTTCCGTTAAGGCCCGAAGTCACCGCAGGTCTGCCTCGGCATCGGAGAGACCCGGACGGGTGGAGTCAGCGGTCACGAAGCCAAGACCGTGTCGGAGTCATAATCGAAACGCTTCGGTTTTACCTGGAGTGAATCTAACTCTTTCCAATGCAGTCGTTGACGACTAGTAGTACCTCTCCTGTGTCCACGTACTGATTTTTCACTTAACTTTGAGTAAACAACAGGACCAGCCACTCTTTCAAATAGAGGGTTGGAATCAAAGGGGTCCAATCGCACGATTGTCATGTGACAAGAGGGGGCCCTTGTAGTAAAGTGATGCTATTTTTAGTCACAGTACATGATCATAATCACTGAAAGGTCGCCGGACATGGAAGTCATAACGGGAGCACATAGAGGGGGTGCTTGAGCTACCTTCCCCTGGTGGGGTAGTTTGGGCTAAAAGAGCCAGATGAGTCATGGACCTCTGACCATCTGAAGAGACAACGTTTCGCGGAGTAACGTGATCTTCGATATATTTCTCGGCACCCAACTTTCACCCCTCAAAACCACCCCTGGTCAGTATATCTACCCCCCGTGCATATCCCGCGCATCTGCCTCCCCCCCGTGCGTCCCCCACACCCACCCCACATGGACTCGCGAGTACAGCGTCTATTGTTCTAGTACCCCTCTTTTCACTAGCAAGAATACCACATGATTGATCCAATGGTGGGTGATATGTACCACCCCACTCCTTCTCTTCGACTCTACTTGTGCCTGCCTTTTTCTTCATATCTTGCTTCCAATTCTGACCTTTAAACCTCAACGTTTCATTACAAACCCCGGAGTAATCGAACCCCTCATTTATGTCAGGTACCCCTCCATCTGCCCCAATACTGAATAGAGGTGATCAGACACTTACCATCCATTCACTACCCCCACCCCCATTTCATAGACTTCCTTCCGTCTCTAGCCCTTTGATGACCTCCACGTTCCCTACCCCCCCGTCTTAACCCTCCATCACCCACACCACCCTACCACCTATTCAAACCTTTCGCCTCCTTTGTCACCCCCACCTACCTCAATTCATCCTCAAAGCCTAAACACCCATACTTGTTCTCTTTCAAATATTTCTTACTATTTCTCGCTTCTCTTCAATGTGATTTACCTATAGCTAACACCCTCGTGATTTTGAATCCATCTACATGAATAGTTTTATCCAAATTTTCGGGGTATTCGACAGAAACGCGCCCGAAATCTTGGGTGACAGATTAAAATCTTATCTATTTTAAAGCATATTCTCCTCTGCCTTAACCGGTCCAAACAAGGCAAAGACATCTAGAGGGGGTGGGTACTCTCTGGTACCAATTAATAATTGTTAACAACCTTTTTAGGATTACGGTACAAAAAGTATTCTTGTATTCGACTACCCCTCCACTTCACTCTCACTACCCCCCATTACCCCCACCTCTCCTCAATCCACCACCCCCCCACCCTCCTTTGTCAGAGAACATCGGTTGTCACATGGGTGGTCGTCATACCCCAAACAGACTACAGTACCCCCTCCTGGCAGCCTGACATACTATACGTAGGAGGGGTACTTCATCACGATTAGGAAAGTCTACAGTACCCCCTTGTGGCAGCCTGACATCCTATACCCAAGAGTTGTGTGACTAACATTGACCGTGGCGGGAGAAGTAGGCATAGATTGGTCTGCCAGTTCATGATAAAGACGACTAGCCGCTTCCACGAGGTTCCCGTCAAGCCTCCATCCCACGAGTTGATGTCCCTTCGAGATAACTTGACCTATACGAAGGTTGGAGGAAAGCCCCAGCTGAGAACGTATGGTTTCAACATGGTGCATGAACGATGTGGGATGCAGAGCTGCCATGGCGCGGCGTCCGCGGCGTGCTGGAATGGCCAGATTTGTTGGCGGGAAAGTAGTACCAAGTTGGAGAGTTTGTACGGGGTCGTACTACGGTACCTTAGCAATAATTGTTTGTAAAGGGCAAATGTAACTTAAATTAGTACCGAGTTTGCTATTTTCATACTGTTTAAAATAATCCAAGAAGCGTTACTATCCAAACAATTTGTACTATTTATCCAATTGTCCTATATCCATGATTTTGGACGCGTTTCTGTCGAATACCCCTTTTTTCAAATTTTCTCTACCCACCCCTTTTTAATATTCTCGGCTGTACACGTCTACCCCCACCCTATCTAAATAACCCCACCCACTGTGGTGGATCACTTGCCTGCGCCTGTATCTACCTCCTCCAACCCCGACGCTCACGCGACTCCCCCGACGATCCAGCAGCCCGCGCCTGCTATAAATCATCAGCCAACACCACACTCTTCCATAAAAGCTTCGTATCTCTATCATCGATCCACGCACCATTCCTCTCCTTCATCGCTCCCTCTGCCTCACATCGACTACCTTTATTTGTTCGTTTCTTGCCGAAACAGCAGTGAGATAACGTCAACGAATTCAAGACCAAAAGCACCTCAACAGACCTCTATCTAGAATCCAAACTAAGATGAGCAGTTTTCCAGAAGCGCCCAACACACTATCCGATGAACTGATCTCGGATGGAGCAATTGTCTGTGCCTTGACCACGAGGAGAACGGTCAGGGAAAATAATGCTGGCCATGTCATGTCTTCATCAGAGCAGCACCAACCGAAAGCCCAACAGGAGGATCAGAGCCAAGTTAGAAAGCGCCCGTTGGAGGATGGAGCAACCCAGCCCAGATACACAGCTAGGCAGGCAACTTCGTCAAGACGCAGGCTGTTGAATCAGCCCATCGTGTTGAACTTCCCCGAGCGGATGGAGCGACTTCCTGTTGCTTGCGGCGGCTTGTCCGGTTATTTTCTGAGTGAATTTCGTCGTCGTTCGATGGATTTGCATGCTAAGGGCAACCCATGCGCTTCGTCCTTTGCAATGCATGCTTTGCCAGTGCCGGAGAATTCCGAGGTTTCGGGAAGTGACTGTGCGATCTGCCAGTGTGCGCTACAAGGGAGCATGAAGAAGATGCCTTGCTCACACGCCTTCCACGAGAACTGTTTGTTTGAATGGCTGCAAGTGCACAACACATGCCCGTGCTGCCGGTGCGAGATAGAATCTTCCTGCCCGCTGTACAACCGGATGAATAGGGAGAAGATCTCGGGAGATGTTCGAGAAGAGGCGATGATTCCTCTTGAGGCTGTGCAGCATTGCGAGAAGTCGGCTGTCTGAATGATCAAACGAGATTTTTAACTCTACGAGGATATGATTTAATGAATCAATCTGCTTTCCAACTTGTGCGCACTTCACAAGAAATACCTTCATCCACCCTACACATTCACTCCTCACATCAGAGTTCATCCCCTCTAGAAGAACTTCGACCAGCCCCAGATCACGGTTTCTGGTGTGTACGCACTTTTCTTGAAAGCGTCGGTTTGCATGGCGGAGTTGAGGTATTTCTGTAGTGTTCGATCAACCATGTTCACAAGACGAAAAGAACTTACCTTAATATTGTCATATTTCTCGAGAGCATCATATTTCACATAGTGTGGCACAGCAATGCTGCATTAAGCTTCAGGAAAACCACGGATAGAGGTGAATGTTCTTGCCTGATGTGATACAATTGAGGAGTCAATTTGCAGTCTTCAGCGCTGATCTGCAGTCTTGATCAGATCCCGCGGCGAATGCTTTGCATCAGTCGTCACCTGCTCTCCCAAGAGAAGAGGCCCATTGCGACCCTTCAAAAAACTGTACATGGAGGTGATCAAAGCGCAGACACTTGTAGCTGACCGACCTGTCAAGTGCAGCAAGTTTGGCGTCAAGTTTGGCCTTGAGCTCGTCGTTGCGCGAGACGTCCTTGTTCTTCATGTATTCTGAAGTCCAATTCACATCGAATAAAAGATTGATGCACTTTGATCATAAATGACCTCCGAAGGCTGGGAAAACCTCTTTGGCAACATTCCAAACCTCGTCTCTAGGAGCAATAGATCAGGGTCTGTTTCGAATACACGGTTGCTTTATCGTACCCTCCAGGTCGTTGGAACATCTTGAAGTCCTGCTCAACAGCAAGGTCAAACATCAGCGTCTCTGAGACAGTAGCAGGCACAATGTTTTCTCTCAACCTTTGGCTCTTGCAAGTCGCACCATTGGATGATGTCGTCAGACTCCGTCAAAATCTTTCCTTCAGCTGTTGCCATACGTGAGTGGAGTGGTAGCAGGTAGGAAGTTCTCACCCGTCACGTACGTCGGCACCGTCCCTTTGGGGTTGAGCTCGAGGAACCACTTGGGTTTGTCGGAAAGGTTTACCAGGCAAACTTCATACTGCAGATCCTTGGCCTTCATTGCCATCTGCGCCTTGTGTGTGTACGGACAATCTCCAAGAATTCCGTCATGCTGACCTCTTTTTGCATCTGAAAGTTTCAGCTATGTCAGCGAAATCAAGTGAAGCACAATGCAAAATCATCTCACAAAGGACATTGTTCCCACGAGGACCATCGACCATCATTCGTAGACCATGGCCTCCTCGAAGTGTCAGCCTTGCTCTCTGTATCAAGGAAATCTGGTGCATTGAAGAAGACAAGCCAAATCTCATTGCTGAATTTACTGGAGCGAAAGAGAAAGCTTCCAAGCTACAAGATTGATTCAGAATACATCGCTCAACAGCAAGGAAATCATAGAGAAGCAGTGTAAGGGGAGTGAAGGGAAGCACAAGGCGAGCCATCATAGAAGCTGCTCCAGGAGTTGGAGATGATGCCGAGCGAAGAATCTCAGGGAGGAGTGATCCTCTCACCTGCCGATCTGGAGGAAGAGCGGGAGGACGAGGAGGAGGCGGCGACTGCCCTGCATTCCCTAGGTACCGTTGGGATCTCACATTTAAGGTTATGGTTCTATATTTCCTCTTTATTTTGAAAAAGTAAGCTGGCATTTCAAACTTTCATGGTGAGGCGGGTTGTGTTCCACGTGTTGTCCGGTACTGATGGCTGATCCTGGGGACATGCCGGTCAGTACTGCTGCAGTACTGGGTCTGGTACTGGGTCAGCACTGAGGCGTGTAACTGTTTGAAACGGTTCAAAGTTATGAAAGCCTAGTTCCGAAGCTCGGAAGTTCGGCCCGGCCCCGAAGCCAGAAGCTGAGAAGTTGCCGCGAGTCTTCGGGGCGGTAGGCGGGGGCGCCGAACTGTCAGATGTAGTCAGTGACGGTGTAGACTGCCGCACTGCTGGCAGTGCGGCGGGCCGGGCGCCCACCCCCGCCATCGGCCGTGATTGCGACGGTCCGACACTGTGCCACGTTGGCTTGACCGTCCGTGGCAGTGTGGCTTTGCATGAATTATTCGTTAATTTTCAAGTTTACAGCTCAAAGATCCGGGAGTCCATCATCATCTTGGCATCGGATGCAGACCTGCTCACATCTCTGCGAACCGAACTCGCTTGCCGCCTCTGCTAGATGACTCGCCGTCGGACCCGGCGGGCCCGGCTTCGACCAGATCACGATAGTAGCCCAACCCGAGCTCTCCCGGCCTGAACACATACCCCGGCCTCGAGCTCCCCGCATCAGCGGGGATGAAGTCACGGCGCGAAAGGGCTTCCTCCTCACCCTCGGATTCCAAGTCAGAAAGGACTTCCTCCTCCTCCACAGCTTCGTTCATCTCAGCCTCCTCGGCATCTTCCGTAGCGAAGATATGCCTGGCCGACATGGCTGCAGCCTCTAAGCTCGCTTCCATGCTGGAGTCTTGGTCCTCGGGAAGCAGCTTGACGTTGGTCAGGATCCATCTGATCTTCTTGTCTTCAGTTGCCTTCCTCTGCTCCTCGTTGCGGACTCGTTTCCGGCCCGTCTCCTCATGTTTCTCGCCCGACTTGCTCGCGTTGCTGAGCGTTTTTTCCTTCATCCACAACTCCATGATCTCCTCCACCGTCCCCGTCGCGATGAACTTCTCGACCGTGATCGAGCTCTTGGCACCTAGTCGGTGGGCGCGACTGATCACTTGATCCTCCTGGCTCTTGTCCCAGATCGGGTCGAGCAGGTACACGTGCGTCACGAAGCTGAGGTCGAGGCCAAGAGCTCCCGCGCTGTCGATGAGGATGATCTGAATGTCTGGGTTGTCTCGGAACTGCTGGATGGCATCGTTGCGCTCCAGCATTCCTCGCTTGAGGTTGGCGGTGAAGCGCATGTAGTTGCCGCCCCCGCCCATGGCCTCGGAGATCGAGTTCGCCACGTTGTCGATGGTCTCGATGAAGTTTGAGTACACGATGCACTTGCCGGCCGGGTGTCGCTGCGGCGGGCTCTTGCTCTCGTGCTTGCGCGTCTGTTTGGCGAGGCGCAGGACTTTGTTGTGCCACCAGATCTCTTGGGACTTGTGGACCTGGAGGAACCCGAAGTGCCGCAGGCGAACGAGGAGGAGAGCGACCTTGGAGGACAAGTCGTCGATCCAGGAGGGGTTCCATGTCATGTTCGACTGCTCCACTGACGGCTGGAAGTCAGCGAAGCTACGGAGGGAGAAACTGCGAGCACAAATGGGGCAGACGCGCATCGCAGTTGCGTCCACACAGTTCAGACAGATGAGATGACCGCAGGGAGAGATGAAAGGGAAGATGGAGCTCTTGTTGCACTTGTCGCACACGCAGCAATGCTGGTCCACCAAAGAAGTTCTTCCAGCAGAGAAACTTTCAGGCACAAACGCGTGCTGCACGTTCATGATCCTCCTCTCTGGCACCACACAAGACGTGTCAGCTAGCAGCGGGCAATTTCCTCCTCTGTCGCTGCAGTCCACCATCTTGGAAGAGTTCATGTCGAAATATTCACCAGGGCAGTCGCAGCCCTTGTCCTGCAACGAGTGTCCCCTGCGCATCACCTCGACAGACTCGTCCAGGTGAGCCTTCACGATCGCGATCTTGAACTGTCACAAACGTCAAGGGAACGCGACTTGACTACCCCACGAGTACCTGCCCCGTCACGCAACACGCTTTCCTCATGTTGCTGATCGCCTCCAGCGCGTACTTCCTGTTCTTGCTGTGCAGCAGAGAGTCGATCCGGATGTCATCGCACTCAGCGAGAATCAAATTTCTGCGGATGATGGAGACAAGCCCGTTGTATGCCTCCTGCTCTCCTCGTGACAACCGGATGTGCGTCGTCTCTACCTTGCAGGCAGGAATTTCCCCCAACCTCTCCATGTCAGCCTTGAGCGATCGAAACATGCTCCTCGACAGCATCGCGTGCAGCCGCACCCAAGCTGAGCAGTCGAAGGACTCGAAGGGCAGGACCACCTGCTGGCGCCACACGTCAAAGTTGGCGAAGGGCTTGGAGCGGAGGAAGCACATGAGGCCGTAGAGGTGCATCAGCTCAGACCCAGGGTTGTTGGGCGTCGGAGTCCCCGTGCAGATCCATCGACAAGAAGCATCGATGTTGGAGCACATCATGGCACGATTAGTCTCGTTGGTTCCTCCCATAACATGACCTTCATCGAGGATGATCCTCCTCCACTTGACCTTGAGAAACTCACTCCCATTCCTCGTCTCCTCCTGAGCACTTTCCACCTTCCTCTTGAAGTCTGCGATCCCCACATAATCGTGCACATACCTGCCCTGCTTGAGGGACTGGACTCGCTGCTGCTGATACCATCTATGTGAACCAAGGACTGGGCTCCCCAGACTCCACTGCTTGCTCAGCACATCGAAGGTGGTGAGAACGACATCTAGTCGCGACATGTCCTTGGCCGAGAGGATCTCAGACGACTTGGACACAGTATGGAGCCGAAGGGTGCCTCTCTTAGTGTGAGCACTGATCTGGTACGTCCAATGGTGGAGCAGCGTGCCAGGAACGACGATGAGAGTTGCGCGAGAAGGAAACTTGACCACACCCTTGGTAGGCGACAGGGCCTGAGCTGACAACCTTGTCAACCTCCCAGGCGATATGCCGAGACTTTCTGAGCTACTTCTGTCGCTCTCATCTGCGTTCAAGAAATTCCATCCTCTCATGCTGCGAGACTTCAAGATCAGCGCGAGCACAGTGATGGTCTTCCCCATGCCAGGTTCGTCACAGAGAAAGCCTCCTCGCACGTCCTCCACCTCCTTCTCAGCCTCAAAGGACAGCGACACTCCCTTGCAGAGGTTGATGTAGAAATCTTTTCCCTTCTTGGAGCAGAACTCTTCGACGCTCGGGTTTGAAATTCTCTCAGGTCGAGTCTCTCTCCTCAGCATCCATGCAACTGCTCGTCGCTGATGGCCATAGAGAGTGAGCTTGAGTCCAGGGATCATGTTCTGTACAGCATTGTTGAGCGATCGGCATGTCATCGCCGCAACGCTCAGCTCCTCTAAGGGGTCGAGCTGATCGAGCAGCACCACAAGAACATCGTCAGGAAGCACATGGATCGGCATCTGAATACTCTCGCGAACTCCCAGGACCTCAGAGAGCAGCAGTCGCTCCACCAGGGTTGTCGAAGCATATCTCACAAGAACGTGCTGGTCCTCCATGCCCACCACAAACGCATCCCTTACGAACGTGCACCCTCTGGATTCTTCTACACACTCGAAGCATTTATGTGGAAAGGACACCACTTCCTGCTCACCGGACTCATACCTCACTTCATACTTCAAGCTTTGAGATCTCTTCACTCTCAAGATGTTGACAATCTTTCCACACAAGACTACCTCGCCAGCCAGCTTTCTCACCCGTGCGCCCAGACTGTACTTCCATCGTACCGACACAAGAGCTCCTCGCTGTGGCTTGGAGTTGCTCTTGTCTGTTGCTGCCATCCTGTAGGAAGACTTGCCTGACACCCGCTTCAAATCCACCATGCGATGCTCTTGCTTCACAGAGCCTTCGTCAGCAAAGAAATTGAAACTTCCGTCCGGATTCTTCATAACGCCTTCTACACGCACCCTTTTCCAAACATCACTTTCATACATGCATAGCTCTAGTTCAGCCCCATCGACAAGATCCACGCTTTTCGAACAGCCTTTTCTTTGAACCATCAAAGATGGTGTGGAGTTTCTGTTGGTTTCATCAAGCACATCTTCATGCTGCAGGTTATTGAGGGCAAGCAAAACTGATCCCAACCTGAACAGCGGAGCTAAGTTTTGCCCGTTGTCATGCAGCGAATCCCAGCAGCAGTCCTTGACGAAACAGTTGCATCTGATCTGAGCGAGGCTCACTTTGACGGAGTCATCGCTCTCTTTCAGCTGTGACAGGGCGCCTCGAAACGCTTCCAAGCTTCTGAGCTCTTGCGCGAGACCTCCTTCCTTGGAGGACCTGCAGGGGCAGCGAGTGTCGAGATGCATGACCAGCACGTGCAGGTCTCGTCCCAACTCGTTGTTCATGCTGTCGTACGTGAGCTTCACACTCAGATGAATGGTAAACCCGATGTCCACATCATATTCTCCTCCCTCCACGCTTTCCTCTGTCATGCTTCGTTGCAAGAATTCACGTAGGCTGAGTAAGTAATCCACTTCTTAGCCACCAGGCGGAGCATCGCGGCCAGCACACTGCTGTGATGGCTGTCGACTCGGAAGGAGCTCAGGTGTGTGCCGCTGCTAGACCATGTCGTTAGCTCGTTCTCCTTCAGTGTCACAAGGCTCCCCTCGATCAGGTCCTGTGGGCTCCTCATCTCTACCAGGAAGCTGCCAGCATCCGCTATGTAGCCATTCGAGGGGTTAAGAGGAAGATGCTCTTGCCTCTCCTCTTGCCTCCCTGCGAGGTCTTCCCCATCAAGAGCCCGCAACTGAATCATTTGCCTGCGATGGAGGAGCATCAATATACTAGACTATGGCAGAGCGAAGACCGTCGTTACAGCAGGTATGGGCGATACAGGGAGGGAGGGAGGGAGGGAGGAGGGAGGAGGAGGAGGAGCAAGGTGGAGAGCGGGGAAGGGGGAAGGAGGAGGAACTGAAGATTGTAGGATTGTGAGGGAAGTCAAGCTGAGACCTCAAGGTCTTCAGGGGGTAGGGGGTGGTTTGATATCACCAGGGTGTGGTGGGGACGCCAGATAAAAATATTTAAAACACACATGGTAGGTTGAGGGCATTTTAATGTTTTAATTTTACAATTATTGGTACTTTGATTGTATCTTCCCTACCCATCTGCTGTCCTTCGTCTGGAAATAACTTTTATGATTAAAAGTGTGATCCCTGCGATGCTGCGGACAGCAGTTCTGTGCTGCGCTCTTGGGCTGGCGGCAGCCGTGCCTCTGAACCAGAAGCTCGACGAGGCTCCTGCTCTTTCAGAAGACTTCGGTGAGCCTCGCCGCCATCTCTCTGCTCCCTGTCTCCCTCTTGCCTCCTCAGTGATGCGTTTTGAAGAGATTTGTGCGCGACTAAACAAACCGTTGTTACCTTGCGTTTCATGTTTCTGATTCGAGCCTCTTTAGCCTCGTCTTGTCTCAAGATGTGAAACTATCTAACTCAATGTCTTTTGTAGTGAATGAAGTCAACAATGCTGCAAAGAGCTGGAAAGCTACAACCAACAAGCGGTTTGCAAATACCAAGCTCGGTGACGTGCGTACCTGGATGGGAGCGTTGAAGGAGCCGAAGGACATGCTTGCTGGACCTCCAGACTTTGACTATCCCAACGTGAAGATCCCAGACAACTTTGACGCTCGCACCAACTGGCCTCAGTGCCCTTCCATCGCACACATTCGCGACCAGTCGACGTGCGGATCCTGCTGGGCGTTTGGAGCCGTGGTAAGATGCATCCTCCGACTCTTTGCGCTCTCCTTGCTCGAAACATTGTCGTTGATGTTGTCGTTGATATTCTTTCGCAGGAAGCGATGAGTGACAGGTTGTGCATCGCCAGCAACGGGACGGTCAAGGACGAACTGTCTGCAGAGGATATGCTCTCGTGCTGCCTTGTACAATGCGGAATGGGATGCAACGGCGGTTTCCCAACGGGTGCCTGGAGGTTCTTCAAGATGCATGGGTTGACGACGGAATCAAAGTACCCCTACGTGTTCCCCCCTTGCGAACATCACATCAACAAGACCCATTACAAACCTTGTGGTCCAAGCCAGCCAACCCCCAAATGCGTGCGAGCAAGCGAGAAGAAGCCAAGATACCATGGCAAATCGGTTTATTCCGTAAGCCCAGCAAAGATTCAGGCCGAGATCATGACGAATGGTGATGAAGCATTCTCCTGGCTTGCTTATTTGCTTCACTGACGTACATCGGCAGGACCTGTGGAAGCTGCCTTCACTGTCTACCAAGACTTTCTTGCCTATCAGAGTGGTGTTTATCGACATGTCAGTGGACCGGAGCTCGGTGGACACGCGATCAAGATCATGGGGTACAGGATTCCCTCACCAACATTGCACTTGACTGATGCTCTTGCGTAGATGGGGAGTCGAGGCAGGCAACAAGTACTGGCTGGTCGCCAATTCCTGGAATGAGGACTGGGGTGACAAAGGTACATTCAAGATCGCAAGAGGAGATGATGAATGCGGCATCGAGTCATCGGTGGTCGCTGGAATGGTTGACATGTCACCACGATAAAAGCATACGAAGCTGATGTTGTTGTTCCGAACATTTGACTGTTGTGCGAACCATGCTTCCATGGCTATAAAAAATAAACGATCCTCTAGTGGTCAGACGGGAATTCCTTCAGACTTTCATCGATCTCCGTCGGGAACTTGCCTGTTGTTCTCACCTTGAGTTTCTCTGTTTGCCCTGCCGCATCCCTCAAGTTCCCAGTGATTACCCGGATAACATCCTATCTATTGCACGACTTGTTTTGGGTGACCTCGTTCACGACTGACCTGAACCGACTAACGCCGAGTTGAATGCCTGAAACTACCGGCGTCTCTGATTGTACCATCTTGTATCCTTCTCCATCACATTCTTTTACATTCACAATCCATCATTATCATCTATCACCATCTCGTCATCCTGTCACGCTTGTTCTTTTTGATCTTCCTTCACCATCTTCCACCGTCTTGCATCATTTCTCAGCTTCATCTATCAGATTTTGCTACGTCATCTATCATCACATGTTATCAGTGTACCACCTACTATCATCTATCAGCGTCTTGTAACGCTGATCTTTCATGTTCGCTGATCATTTCTCGTCACTGTTCATGATCTATTAGCATCTTTATCACCCATGGGAGCCTCTTCTGGTCCTGCATCCACTTCCTCTTGTTCCTCATCCCCGCATCACCATCCTCGAAATTCTCTGCTCTCCACGTCGCTCTCCGGTGGGGGTGTGAACACCACGAAAGGAGGGGTGGTACGCGTCACGTTGAGACTCCCAGAGGAAGTGAGGGGTGGTAAAAGGGAGAAAAGGTGGGTGGGTGAAAAAAAATGAGATCGAAAAGATATCTTTTAGTTCTGGCTGTGCTAAAAAAAAAAGAACTTTACAACACAGGCAGCGTTAGCCTACTTCCTGGCAAAATTAAGTAGAGTTTGAGGATTTGGGCTACTTTTGGCTCAAATTAAGGTGTTTAACCCCTCAATTAGCTCCTTTCTCACTAAATTTAAGTCCCTTCTATCTTATCTTCCCCTCGAGCCTCCTCCGCCTCAACCTCCGCTCTGACTTGAGCAGCTTTCCTGCTCCTGCTCCTCTACATCAGCCCCCCTCCTCTGCCCTCTCCTCCTCTCCCTCTGCCCTCTCCCTCCTTCGCAGAGCTTTTCTTGAACGCTTCAATGCCATGGCTACTTTCCTGCTTGTACTTCTCCTCCACCACCTCTTTGCCAACTCTTTCATTATGCTCGTCTTTGTACCGCATAACAACTGCGCTTCATCATATTGCTCCTTCCCTTTCCTCAATCCTCATCTGTGTATGTACTTGCAATCTTCTCTCATGTCAATAATCGACTTCGCCCTTTTCTCATCTCGCTTTCCTTGCATCCTTTACAACATGGACCTGCTTTGCTGCCTCGTCCTCTTTCTACGTCCTGCTCGTGGCTCTTCCAGTTAGACCGACTCTCTCGCGGATCACAATGTGTTGCTTCATCCATACGCTTATCTTGCCTCTCTCTGTTTTCTCGCACTTGCTTGAGCACATGTGCTGCTATGCTCTGCCTCTGAACGTCATACTTCACCTCTCCTGGTGCTTGTGCTGTCAGAGCAAACCGTTCCACTTCTGCCGCTTCTGATATGAGTGAGGGAACTTTACTGCAACTCATCACCTCAAGTTCTCTTGCCCTGTTGCATTAATCGTTCGATTTTTTCAAAACTCGTGCTCCTGTTGCCATGTCTCCCTTCACTTTTCAAACTGGCTTTCTGATCCCTTTATGTTTGTTCGCTGCGTGTAACCCAACTAGAAGAGTAAGGAGTGAAAGTCAGGGTGAGGTTGCCATGAGATAGTGGACATTTACGGGATGAGAAGCAACAAGCTTTATCGTCATTCCTTAAGCTCGTGTGAAACTAGGTTGATCTTACCGATAGATTAGTCAGGCTCTTCGGGATGATACTCACCCAAGCTACCCGGTCTGACGAGTGTTGCTGACCTCCAAGGATCGGGAGGCGCGACATGTTCTGTTGCATCCTGTGAGACGGCAGAGAGTAGGGCGGATGCATCTCGTTGTCTAGAAGGTTGAGATCATCGCGTTCGCTAAGTCAAGATAGAGATGTCCGACTCGAAACCGAACATTCAAACCGCATTGGCATTCTTGAAACAGGTGGGAACAAGACTTTCTTGTTCTTCTTGACGTCCTCGAAAGGTCAAGAGCGAAATGCCGACAGAGTATGATACGTTCCTGGAGATTTTGACTCAGTTTCGCTCCAAGAAGTAAGTGGAGAAAGTGTTTAGTCTCTAGCGTTGACCTCACCTCGGTGACAGTGTAAATGCGGAGATGGTGGTCACAGTTGTGATTGAGATGCTCATCGGGAGGGAGTACTTGCTGCAGGGCTTCAGCCAGTTCCTCCCTCCTGCATGCCGCGACTGCTTGATGCAAAGATTCTTCTCGCCAAGCAAAGACGAGAATCTTCGGACTTCGCGGTCAGCCAAGCACGAAGGCGACGAGATGAGCTCGCCCGAGAAGAGCGATGGAGAGAAGCACAAGGGGAAGAGGAGAGGTTTCGACCAGAGCAGCGTGAGTTCTGCCTCTTCTCGCTTCTTGGGTAACTTGTCCTCAGCTCATAGGATCTCTCCCGCTCGAGCAGAAGCGGAGGCGCGAAAGTGTCGGGGTGAGCGGCAGCCGATGCGGTGAGGAGCTGAAAGGTTGGCAGGAGATGGACTTGCGGCCAAACGCCTTCCTGAACTCGTACGCGGGGATGGGGAAGAGGATGACGCAGCAACAGATCTACCAGGCTCAGCTCAAGAAGACCATCGCTCCTCGCAAGGTAACAGCCTCCCCCAGCCTCGATGCAGCGCTGAGCCCTCGCAGCTTGCAGACATGTGGGAGAGGCTGGAGAAGCGAATCGAGAAGAGGATCGAGCAGATGGAGGCGGCGGGGGCCTCCTGGATCCCGTCCATCCACGTGGACGAGATCTTGAAGGGGGAGGTGCCAGCGCAGGTGGTGGAGCAGGTGAAGGTGGCAGGGGTGATCAAGATCCGAGGGGTTGTAGCCAAGGCCAAGGCGCTGGAGATGAACGAGGGGATGATGGCAGACCTGAGTCACTACCTCAAGGTTGACCCCAAGAAGCCTGAGAGCTACGAGACCATCTACAACGACGAGAACCCCAAGGCCTTCACCTTCGGGGGGGTGCAGGAGATGTACTACACGCGCGGTCAGTTCGAAGCCCGGCAAGACGAGAAGATGCACAAGGTGAGGGTCTGGCTGAATCACTTGTGGGGCTACAGGGAGAAGAAGAGCAAGAAGCTCTTGTTCCTCCCCGACGTCGAGACCACTTACATCGACCGCTGGCGCCACCGCCTGCCCGGCTACGACAAGCAGACAGGCATGAAGGAGCACATCGACAACGGCGCCATGTGCCGCTGGGCGGACCCAGCCTGGCAGGAGGTGTACCAGGAGATCATGGAGGGGAGGCTGGAGGACTACGACGCCTGGGACGTTGGGAGGCGGACGGAGACGTCCGGGTCCTTCTTCCGCTCCTTCCAGGGCTGGCTGGCGCTCTCGCCTCAAGGCCCGACTGACGGGACCCTGGAGGTGATCCCGATGGTGACGGAGGCCATGGCGTATGTGCTGCTGCGGCCCTTCCAGGAGGACGTGCCTGTCCATCAGTTCTGCGGGGTCAGCGACACGGGGGGGGGCGACACCATCGAGATCACCAGCAGGTGGCATGCTCCGCTCCTCAAGGCCAAGGTTCCTGTCGGGCCCGTCGACGCCGGGGACACGGTGAGAGGAGGCGCGAGAGCTGGCGAGGTTGATGCGCTGCAGGTCTGGTGGCATCCCGACCTCATCCATGGCGTCGAAGCGGATCACGCCGGCTCTCAGCCCAGCAACGTGCTCTACATCCCCGCCTCTCCCCTGTGCGTTGCTGCTCACGCCCTCGTCTCCTCCTCACCCCGTCGCAGATGCCCACAGAACGCGCGGTACCTTGCCAAGCAGCGAGCAGCGTTTCTTCGCGGCGACGCTCCTCCTGGATTCCCAAACCTGAGGATCGAGAACGACCCCGAGCGTCGCATGAAGGTGACACGGCGCTGCCTGTCGGTCATGGCGTGACCAGCTTGGCAGCCGAGCCAGCTCAGTGAGCTGGGGAAGCAGCTGCTGGGCTTGGAACCGATACCTAAATCTGTGCTGGAGAGCAGCAGGTGCTATTGGGAGAAGGGGATGGTGGGATGACGGGAGGAGAGGAGGGGATGACGGGAGGAGAGGAGGGGATGACTGGGCTTCAGGTGTAGCGAGGAAGAGGCTCAGGAGCGGGAAGAACTATTCAACGAGTGTTGCAGTCTTCTCTACCAGTCATAGACTTCATGTTACGGGATCAGTTACAGCGTTACAAGTCAGTTCATGTCCGTTACTAAAAACACTACGATCGCAACTTGGCGAGACGTTCCTGGAGGCTGACGACAGACGAGCTGGTCAAGCTGCTTCTGTTCTCGTCTGCCTGTCTGCTCTCCTTCTCCTCCTCTTCCTCCTTCTCTCCTGCCGCCTCTGCCTCCTGCCCCGCCCCTCCGATCCCCAGCTGACTTCGGATCCCTTGAAGCTTGTCCAGCAGAGCACCAGCGCCGCTTGGCTTGAGGTCGAGGGGCGTCATCCCCTTGTTGGCGATGGACATGGCGCTCTGGAGCGGCATGCTGCTCGCGCTGCTCGCGGCCTCATGCTGCGCCTGCACCTTGGCGAGGTTCTTGTGCACGTGCTCCTGCCAAACGTCAGACCCCAGCAGCCCAGCAGCAGCATCTTCTTACCTGGAACTGCGGAGACCTGCCGGAGAGGTATTGGTCGAGGCTGAAGTCAGGGTGGTTGAGCTTGTAGAGGTAGAGCAGTTTGAAGCCCTGAATGCATTCAGCTCTCCTCCTCCTCCTCCTCCTCCTCGTCTCACCTCCTTCGCCACGTCCTTATCTCTGCTCCCGATTTTGTCGAAGATCGCGGAGATGTCCTCTCCTCCCGACGGCTTCGCTCCGCCTGCCTTGCTCGCGTGCTGCTGCAGGACGAGCTCAAGGTACGAGCAGAGCGTTGGCTTCGACTCGACGGGGACGAGGGTGAGGTGCTGGCGGATGCCTTCGCCCTTGAGCTTCACCAGCTCGTTGAGAATGGTCTTGAGGAGGCGGAGGGGGCGGAACTCTCGCCCCCGGTACTTGGAGGGAGGATGGGCCACCAGGAACATGTGAGCGTCGTAGAGCAGCATGTCGATATCGAGGCGAGGAGCGAACGACTGCAGACACGACAAGTCAGAGAGCAAGCGGGCGAGACGACAAGCACAACCTGCATCTTCCTTGCCATCTCCAGCAAGCAACGCAGAACGCCGTCGGTGAACTCGGCTGTTACATCTCGTCCCCCGGAGAGGGGAGCTCCTTCGTAGAGGAATCGGATCAGGACCGTGAAGACATGGTTCGCGTTCCCGTTGTGCAGGATGTTCATCATCAGCTCGTTCATCCCCTTCATCAGCACCTCGTACGCCTCGTCCGTCTGAAACTTCTGGTCGTGCAGGCGGATCAAAAGCTCTTCGATGAGCGCCCCCAGCGTCGAGTCCTTCACGTGCCGGGTAGCGTCAGACTTGTCGGTGAAAAGGATGTGGGCAGCGTTGAGCGAGTACTTGACGACGCGGAAGACGCTCTCATCCTTGAGATCGCTCTCAAGCCCTGCAGCCATCAGCCCTCGCAGCGCCTGCACTACCTCGTCCGCCTTGCTGCTCAGGTTCGCCCCCCGGCTGCCATCGTTCTCCATGGCCGCCGTGAGCTTCTTCAGCCCCTCGATCTGCTCAAGGGGAGCTGGAGACGACAACTCAGCGAGGATCGCCCGCACGTCCTCGCCACGGCTGTCGCTCTTGTCTTCAGCTTTGACCTCCGACGCCTGGAAGCGACTCCGGATGTTGCTGATGGTCGGGGTCGGGGCCTCCAGGAGCTCACTGATCGACTCCTTGCACTTGACTGGCGTCGGCACAAAGCTGGAGGGCTCGAGAGAGGGCACGCTGCTCCTTGTAACCGCCATCTTCTCTGTTGACACCTCGGGCATCGACCGGCGCATCTCCGAGGAGGTCGAGGGTCTCGGCAAGTCGCTTGTCTGCGGCGGCTTCGCCTTCTTGAGCCTCGCCTCCAGCATGTCCTTCTCCTTGCCCTCCAGCCTGTTGAGGTACTTCCACACCTTGTCTCCCATGCTCGAGTACGCCGCGGCGATGCAATCGCACGCTGCGTTCCTGACGAGCGGGTCGCGCTCGGAGATGAAGGACGCGATGGCTGTGAGCGCCTTGGAGGGAGTGCAGACCTGCTCGAGCCCCAGCCTCTCGATAAGGGCCGACATCTCCGACAGGATCTCACCCCGCGACCGCTGGTTCCTTGTGTTCTGCGCCGAGTCGAGAGCGAAGGAGAAGATCTTGCTGGCGGGATACACTTGCGTCGCCTTCTTCAGCAGCTCTCGCACAGACTTGCGAATCACATCGCTGTTGCTTCCAACCTCCTCCATCAGCACCGGCAGGATCACCTGAGCCTCCGTGTCGTCCAGGCAGTGATTGTGAACGACCAACTGCTCGAAGCAATGCTTCAAGAGGTCGAGCACGCCGAGGAGGACGGAGGTGTTGGAGGCCTTGGCGACCATGCGGAGAGAGCAGACCTTGAGGATGAGGTCCAGATTGTCGATCAACGGCTGGTGCTGCTCTTGAATGAAGCTCGTCAACTCCTTCATCCCGTCCACCTGCTTCTTGAAGTCTTTGCTGAACAACTTGCTGTGCAAGTCCTCGTTCGCCACTGACAACATCTGCTCTCCAACCATGCTGATCAAGTTGTCTATCTCCTTGGCGTCATCCAGGATCCACTTCGCCTTGCCGTACTTCTTGTACCTCGCTTCCTTCCCGTTGTTGCATCTTAGCAAGGGTTTCTCTGCCAGGTCTTCACTCGGTGCAGCGGCTTCTACTGCCTCGTTGGAGCTCTCTGCCGCCTTGACAGCCTTCTTGGTCGCCACTTGGCTGATCTCCTCGCTCGCTGCCTTCGACAGCGTTTCTTCCACCTTGTGCTCGACCTGATTGTCCGCATCCTTCCCGGGGGCCTGGGACATGGCCGCCTTCTCTGCCTTCTCGCAGAGAGGTTTGATGCCCTTGAGCTGCGCCGGCTTCATGTCTCGCAGGGCTCGATTGATCAGCTCCCTGCCCCCGCACACGTAGATGGCGACCAGACATCTCTCGGCCCCGTTCCTGACCTCCGCCACCCTGTGCATCAGGCAATCCATCACAGGCTGCAGGATGGGGGAGAGGTCCAGGTCGTTGGACTTGGTGGTGCCTGCACGCGACTGCTCTCAGGGTCGGCAACAAGAAGGAGATCAACTTACGCGACAAGTACTCTGCGGCCCATTTGACCGCGTCCTCGCGTCCAGCAGGGGCATCGACAGAGAGCGCGACAGGCAAGTACTTGATGATGGTCTCGGTGGACACGTACTTAGACCAGGTCTCGAGGCAGTTGAGGACCGCGTCACGGACAGTCTTCTTGTTGTCTGAAATCAGCGAGAGCATGTTGGGGAAGATGTGCTTGCTGTACTTGTCAACCGGGGCTCCAACAGCATCTGCGATCTTCGCGAGGAGGGCCAACACCTGGATCGACAGATTCTTGTTGCTGTCCTTCAGCCTCGCCTTCATCGCAGCCCACATCTCCCCGCACTGTCCCTCCATGTAAGGCCCTGTGCACCCCAGGGGCTTGGCTTGAGTGACGATCTCGTCGATGGCGGTGATCGCTGCTTGTCGTTCCTTCCAGTTTGCGTCACCGAGCGCCTTCAGATGCGCTCCTATCTGGCTCGTCAGGTTCACAATCTCGCCCTCTCCCCCAGCCGCAGCAGCTGCTGACTCTTCTTCGCACTTGACTTGACGCTTAGGAGCCAGCACAGCCTCGGTGTCTTGTATCTGGAGCAGAAGTGAGTGCGAGGAGGATGCGGGGAGTCGCAAATTGTTCACCTTGGAGAAAGCTTCGTCGATGGTCGACAACAGCGCAGGTTTCAAGTCGTTCAACATATTGCGGAGATCAGGTCCAAGATGCTTCCGCATGGTAACGACAAGCTCAACGGCAGCCTTCTTGGTCGCCGGGTTTGTTTGATCCAACATCGTCTTCACAAAGTCAAGAAGAGGTTTGGGCTTGACGACCTTCAGGCCAAAGTCGGACACCATCGAGTTCACCAGCATGATCGAGTTCTCCATAACTTTCGGGTTCTTCTGCTTCGGCAAGACTTCGTAAGCTTGATTCAAGACGAACTGCGGGGAGACGGCTTCAGCCATTGCAAACAAGCAGTCGTTTGCCGGGCCCTTGAGCTTCACGTCTCCGAGTTTCTCGAGCAGCATCGGGATAAACCAGAAGGCTGAACGCTTCGACATCTTCGGGCACAACTCAGCGATGCACTGGACAATCGCAAAAGCCTTGGCCATGACCTACGAGGAGCCAGAATGAGCATAGAGCGCTTATTGTCAGGAAGAGCAACCTGAAAGTTTGTTTCCTTCTTCTCAACGAACGTCTTGCTGAGAAGACGAATGACTGCTTCACCGGAAGCTACTTGATATTCTTTGCCCTGCTCTTTCACCTCCGATTCCAAGGCTTCGGCTCCTTCTAATCTCTCCTTCCAGTTCGCGCTGGTAAGTTTTGTGCGGATCTCCTGCAGGAAGCGGTTCAGGTTCACTCAGGACAGGAGTGAAGGCATGTTACCTGCAAGACAATCTCTTCAACGAGAGCATCCAGCTGCTCTACTGGGGTCCCGGCAGTCACGTCAGTCTCACTTGAGTCCTTGGCATTGCTGCTTGTCTCTTTCGCACTCGCGGGTTTCGCAGCAGCCGCTGGCTTGGCGACTTTCTTGGCTGCTGGTTTCACTGCTGCCGTTTCCTTGGGGGCTGAAGGTTCGCTCTTGATGCTCGTGCTCGATTTCCTCACAGCCGCAGCCGCAGGCGCAGGAGGTTGAGGAGCTTCAGTTTGGCCGGGGCCCTCGAGCATGGACTCGATCTTCTTCTTCTTCTTGTCATCTAGAGCGTCAAGGAAACCCTTCATACTTGGCATACCGCACACTGTCACGAAGGAGGCAACGACCGCGCAAGAGGCCTCCCTGATATCAGGAGCGCTATCGTCAACACCTTTGATCAACAAATCGACTAATGGCTTGAGGTTCTTTGGTTGTATCTGCGATGCAAGAACAAGTTAGTGGTCGAACATGCCGAGTATTCGGAAGCTTACAGTGCAACTTTTCGCATCCGTTACTCTCTTCAAGTATTTCAAGATCTCAACCTTGGACTTTGGGTTCCCTTTGGGTCCCAGCGCTGTACAGAGGTCCTCCATCACGTCTGCCAGCGCCACGCACTTGCCTGTCAAGGAGTCCAAGGTGGAGTGCACGGACTCCTTCACGCGGTTGTCCTTCTCCTTGAGACGATCAAGAAGAGTCGAGAAGATCATCCGCCCTCCCTGAGAGAACTCCTTGCGCAGGCCCCGAGCCAACAGCCCGACAGCGGTGATGGCCGTGGAGACGACGACGACCATCGAGTCGTTTGCGAGTCTCTTGAGGGTCTTGACGATCTCCAGGTAGTCCCCGGACGCGAGTTTCGGAGCACTGGCCAGTTCGATCAGGTTATCGATCATCTCCTTCTTCTCCTGCCACTTGGGGGCTGCAAGGACCTTGTCGCACCACCCGTTGGGTAGTTTGCTCAAGATTTCTACCGGATCAAAGAAGTCCATGGGATCGACATCAGCGGCGGGGGCGGGGGCGGGGGCGGAAGCGGCGCTGTCTTTGGCGGAGGAAGAAGCGGATTGACTGCTTGCAAGAGCACTTCTCGATGCCGAAGATCGAGTCTCCCTCGTCGGTTGCGGGGGTCCAGCAGAGGCAAACGCCTCGTCCATCTCCTTCTGCTGGGCGGGACGAAGGTTGTCATAGCTGGGGCGGAGAGCAGCTCCCATGTACTTGTGCAGCTCGACGGCGAGAGGAAGCGCTTCTGCTCTCACTGCCGCCACGGTGCTATCGAACAATGTGACTGACAACTTCACAACAGCCTTAGATTGAGGACCAAGCGCTCGCAACCCGAAGCTTTGAACGGCCGATCGCAAGCATTCGGCAGCTGCTCCAGAGATCTTAGGCTGTTTGTTGCCACAGCCCTTGATCAGCTCGTCTGTCACGATCTCTCCGCAATCCGCCTCGATCAATGCCAGGGAAAGCTCCTGCGCCTTCGCTTTGCACTTGGCCTGAACGAAGGCCTTCTCTACCGCTTTGGAAATGATACTTGCTGCAACCTTTGATAAGAGTTGACCTGAAGCTTTCTTGACGAAGCTGATTCCTGCATCAATCCCCTTATCTTGCGCATTCACGTTGCTGTCTGACACTGCTTTCGAGATGAAGGGGCCAAACTCCTCGAGGCATGCGTCGCCCTCTTCCACATTCGAGAGCATCTGTGAGATCAACCGAGTCAAACACGTCAAGTGTCCAGCTGGTAAACGACATCAAGTCGAAATTGTTGTCCAAGTTATTAATTAAACCGAGGGGGGGGGGGATGCAAAACATGCACCAATCGAACAAACAAGGGCACGATCAAGAAACACATATTACCTCAGCAAGCTCGATGTAGGCCTCCATACGGGTCTTCCATGCCTTGCTCTCAAGTCTTGCAGTAAGAGGAGAGTCATCCTTACACCCTGCAGCCGCCGCTTCTCCTCCTCCTCCTCCTCCTCCTCCATCCATGCCCATCGCGTCTTCCGCCATGTCCGATGATTTCAAATTCGCGCCAACGGACCCCTCGCCTTAAAATATAACTCTATTTTTATTGAACAAATATATATATTGAAAGGCTATATATGCTCATACAAACAGCTAATAGCAATATACAAAACTTATATATATTGATTTAAATTTGTAGGGAAAGACATGATTTTGACAATAGTTTGCTCAGAGATATATAATCTTTTTGTGACTGCCTGATTCTTTTAAAAACTAATAAAAGAGAATATACCTTGCCTCAGCATAATATTTATGAGAATTCAAAAGACAGCTGCATACTCTCTTTCAATCATAGGGATAATCACTACAACAAGCCCTGAGGCAGCAGTAGTATCACGAGAGCGGCATGGCTGCCCTCCGAGCCCTGGCGGTTATGCTGGTGGCTGCCTCATCCTCCTCGTCCTCCTTCTCCTTCCCCTCCTCCTCCTCCTCCTCCTTTCCCTCTTCATTCCCCTCCTCCTCGTCTCCCACCTTCTTCTCCCAGCTTCACTCCGCTTCTGATGTCTCTCACTTTGCCTCTGGCTGCCAAGCTACCACCAAACAATCGTCCACCAGACTCCTCTCCTGCCTCTCTCTCCACCCTGCGAGCTCTCTATGCGGGCACTGTCGACAAGCGAGCATGGCCCTCAAGCTTCGAGGAGGGTCTTCAGACCCTGTGCCAAAGTCCGATGCCGGGCTTGAAGCGCATGGGGCTGAAGGAGGGCAGAATCAAACGTCTTCGCGCCCTTCCAACACAGAAGGCGGATGCCCTCACGGGCGACACTCGTCGAACCCCGATGAGCAGCACTGCATGGAGTGTGAAGTCATGGCTTTCCTGCAGGTGATCTGCTCTCCTTCTGGTCTGATTTCACCTCACTCACTCACGCAGCGCGCTGCCATGATTCTCCAACAAGCTGGCGGTCGGATGGACAGCAACATGTTCTCAAAGCAATGGACAACTCAGTACCCTGATGACCCGCTCACGCCAGAGCAGGTGCGGCTGTCCGCGGCCTCCACTTGTGATAACGGAGCTGCAGGTTGCGACAGCTGTAGGAGGGATCTTGAAGGAAAGTGGATACTTTCACGTCGAGGAGACCAACGATCCGATGGTGAGAGCGGACGCATCTTGGCAGCTGGAGGTATCTTACGATGTCAATTCGCAGGTCAAACTCTTCGAGCTCATCGAACAAGCTGACGATGGCAACGGACTGGTGCGCTCCGTGCATGATCATTCCAGCTGTGACTTGATGGCTGCAGGGCGATTCGCCCCCAACCATATGTCTACCTTTCGAGTTGGCACCTCCAGAGAAGGTCAGTTGTCTGTTGGCAAGCACAAGGGTTGTCTGAATACCCTCAAGGACACCTTCGTTGATCGAGCAAGATCCTGGTTGGCTATGACAGGGGTTGTTGTGAATGTTGACTACATCGACGACTTATCTCTCCCCTCTAGGTTGGAAGACACCCAGCAGTCGGAAGTGGAAGGATGACGCACAAGGCGCTAGTAGAAGCCATCTCACCGACAGCAGACAATGCTGGTAAACGACGACACGACGAGGTCTCCAGTCTTCTCTTGATGCCAGGGCCTCACCTGCCTTCGCTAGGTTCAATACACAGGAAAATGGGGAGAGCAGCTTGTTGGGTAGGAGCCTTCTTGCTGCTTCGCCTCGTCTGATTCGCTTTCAGGTATTGGACGTTGGGCTCATGCGACGGAAGCAACGGATGCCTGCATCAAGAGAAGTACGCCTTCGGTGGAGAGTGAGCCTCTATTGCTGTGAGCTTCTTGGACATGCTGACATGTTGACAGACACCACTGGACTTGTTGTGGTTCAACAGACATCTGCAGCGTGTTCTGTACGAACGAGGGAGATGCTTAAAAGCTCATGGACATTGATTTTAGAGACGATTTTGCGCATTTTTGAATAGCTGACTTCAAAACTGGAGAGTAGTGCGAGGAAAAACTACGTGGGTAACGTTTGCGCGCTCTGATTGTGCTCTGTGCACCTGAGAGCAAGATTGCACGCCTCCCTAGACTCTCAATCATCCTTGTGGTGATGGTCGCCCTCCACCGGCCAGGCCTTGTCGAAGGCGTACTCCAGCAGGTGCTCCACGGGCTCGTCACACACCATAGGAAGAAAGGGAATGATGGCCAGCCCCAGAATCGTCGGGCCGATCTGAGCGTACTTGGGGGCACGTTGCTTCAAGGCCTTGTGGCAGGCATGCACGCTGGTGTGAATGATAGCGAAGGGGAGGGCGATAGACGCCAAACCCTGGAAGATGGTTTGGAACGTGACCGCTCGCACCACATTCCCGTTCCTCTTGTGCTCCTGATACCCCACGATCGCCACGTCAGTCACGCAGTAGCCAATGGCGATGGCGTAAGTCGCGTTGACCATCCAGACCGGCACCACAGGCCGCATCGCTTCCCCTACGTCGGAGGTGAAGGCGAGGAACCTCACCTTGGCTTGAGCGAACTTGGCGAACCTTGCCAACAGGAACGCGTACCCTCCGTAGCGCGTGGGATCGAGCTCATGCGCTTCCCTGCTCCCTTGGGCGGCGTGTAGGAGATGACTGTATGCAGATTCGCAGGACGAATGTCGCGAGCTCCAGGCGTTAAACTCCAAGTCAGAGATGTTCTTTGCCTTGGGACCCGCCATCTCGTTGATTGCCTGCTGCACTAAACTACTCACCGCCTGCTCCTTGTTGAGGCCCAGGCTGTCGAGCTTCGCGTGGTCGAACGCATGACCGTCTGTGAGCAGGAGAGCAGCTTCAAACAAACTTGTGAGGACTTGCTCGAGGGACAGCCTGCTCGCCGCATTGCTACCCTTGCTGGCCAACTGAAAGAGTGAGCGAAGTTTCACCTCTTCACTGTGTGCGCTTGCAGCTACCACACTAGCAAGGAAAATGTTGCGATCGATCTGTCCTTGCTTCTGCAGGATATCAAACAAAGAATCAATTTCATCCTCCTTCTGCACTCCAAGAAGTTTCAGGCCAGAATGAAAGTCTTCTTTGCTCAAAGTATCCTTTGCTAGCTTTAACTCTCCATCTTTATGCTGGAACATCGCATCGAGCTTCTCTATTTCAAGGTGATGCAATCCCAGATGAATGATTTTGTTTGCCTTAGACTTGTCAGATACCTGCGATTGGACTACTTGCTCAAGGTGAGTTAACTGCGGCTTTCCCTCTGAGTATGAAGTATTTGGCAACGCAATGGCTATACCACCAATCGCCAGACACCCCAACGCCCTCCCGCTCCAAATCAACTTGTTCATGTCGGGACTTGCCGCTGCTGAACCACCTCGTGCGCTTTGCGACCATACCAACGTCCGCAAGGTTCGGCTCTGAGCAGCTGGCTGTCTCAAAGAGCTCAACCTTGGGATAGATGCTCCGTCACAAGGCTTGACTGCCTGGACGCATGCTCGAAACACTCTTGCCGTGCGCTGCATGCCGCACCTCGAAATTTGAAGCTGCGTCAACATACCCTGGTGGAAAACACATCAGAACTGAACTCGCTTTTCAGTATCACTCTGTCCCTATCCCACTTCCCCCATCATCGAGTATATCCATAAGTAAAAAGTATCCTGTGGATCTTTCATCCCTCCTTGCCCCCGGGAAAAAACTTCCATTCGTGGCAAATTTCTCTAAATTTCACTTTCCACTCGCAACTGTCTCCATCCCTCTCAAATTCGATCTCCCTTCTGCTCTCGCTATCTATTGCAGGTCTTCTGATATCGCTGTGAGTTCCTCCCTCAGCTCCTCAGCTTCCCTCCTCTTCCTCCCTCCTCTTCCTCCCTCCTCTTCCCCTTCCTCCACCCGTTTGCGTTGTCTGCCTGAGGTTCTGCCAGGGCATCATTCTGCTCTCCCGGTGTAAGAGAGTCTCGAGGCCCGGGGCCCGGCAACGTGCCACAACTTAGCAATGTCGCACTGACTCAGTGACTGGCCTAGGCGCCGGCGCGGGCCGCGCGGCCGGGCGGCCTGCTCGGCGGGCCGGCGGACCGGCGTGACTCGGGCCCGGCGGGGGCCGGCGAGACTGAGTCCGACCGGGCCGAGTCGGCGGCGCCGGGCGGCCGGCCCCCCGCCGGGCAGCGGCTGCACTGAGCCTCGTCACGGTGGTGCCGCAGCCTGTGCGGCGAGTGCGCCCCGCCGCCCGCCCGCCCGGCCCGGCCGGGCGGGTCGCGGGCACGGCGCCGCACTGCTACCCGCGCTGCCCTAGTGACTAGTACTACGGTAGGTCGGGCTCGCTTTCAAAAAGTCACGGTCGTGGCGGCCGCATGGTCACGGGCACGGACCGCAGTCGCGACACTGGGGCGGGCCCTGATGATCCGGGAAAGGGGTATCTCCTTCCTGGAGATCGTGATCTCCTCATGGAGATTCTTTTCTTTTTGAATGACCCACCCACCTGTCATGTCTGAAACGATGGGTAGGTCATCGATGTAGGGGTTATTTTCTAAGGAATCAGTGGGATACAGGGGGGGGGTGGTCCCAAATGGCTTCTTTTTGGCCCCTGCGGTATCTCGTCCCCCGAGATCGTTAATCAGTGCCACCCCCACCTAAATTTTCGTCAGGGATAGCGGAAAGTACCCCTACCCAAATATTCACACCCGTACATAATAGAGATCTTTGTTAGGAAATGACCCTGGTCATTCTGAGAATTATGTACCACCTACCCTTGATTATCCACTACCCATCCTGACCCACCCCATCGATTGAAATTTGATAGTGTTTTCCGGTGGACTACCCTCCCTTCTCCCCTCTTCTGGACCCTACCTAGTCTGTCGCTGCTTCCCTGCCCCCAATCCTTTCCCCTTGTTGCCACACACTCACATTGTTCCGCCTTCGTGTTCAACACTGCTCTTCTGACCACTTGCTCATCCTCTCACTTCTCTTCATTGAGCTGAATTCTTTCCAGCCCATCTCCCTTCTCCTTCGAACCTTCACTCCACCATTCCTTGTGCTCGCTGGTTGTTATCTGTACCCGTGTATGACGAGAGTTAGAAGTTGTTTGAACAATTGATTGCTCGGATGCTGGATAGTACGTTCTCTTCTTTTTCAGTCAGAACGATGAACACTTTTAGCGGCTCTGCCGCAACCTCGAAACAGGCGCTGGGCCCTGCAGCTGGAGGTCAAGGACGACCTGCTCGTCGCAGGTTTCGGGCGACCTTGACAAAGGAACAAGCAGCCTTGATCTATGCTTTGCGCCCTCCAGACAAAGACGATCCCAACCCCAGCAAGCTTGCTGGGAACAGCCAATTGCTTGCCAAAAAGTTTGGTGTCAGTCCCAAAGCCGTCCGAGATGTGTGGAATCGTCGGACGTGGGCGCATGCAACCAAGGACGCATATGCAAACAGCGCTCAAGGAGAGGGCCTGGACTCTGGCCTTGTCAAGTCAGAGGACAAGCTACAGGACGGCAGCAAGATCATAAGACCCAAGGGCATCAAGATGAGATCTCCTGGTCGACCCATTGGATCCAAGGACTCTAAGCCAAGGCGTCGGCGAGCGAACATGAAGAACAAGAAGTTGGAGAGTGATCTCTCAGCACTAGACTCCATCACTTGGCCGCTTATGGAAAAATCAGAATCGCCGGTGGAGGAGCAGTTGGGAGATGATTTAGATTACCTCCACTCAACCACCATGACTGATACCAGCGGCACGAGCAATGAAGATCTGTCCGAAGTCGAAGAAAGATGTTTTCCTTTCTTCTTGAGCTCAAGTATTGTTCCTATTCCCAAGTCCTGTTATTCGGACAGTTCTTCTCCTGCTACTTCCATGATGGACTACAGCTGTTGGAACCTCCCGAGACAAGTGGAAGCACAGTCAGAGTCTCTCTCTTGGAGCCAAGTGGAGGATGAGCTCGCTTCTCGACGGTTGCAAGCACTCGCGCGAGATCTACGTGGAGGAGGAATGAATGATCCTCTTGTTATGGAATGGAGGCCGACCTTTTAAAGAGTGAACTTGCCTTGTGCAAGCTGATGGAGCTGCTTTGCAGACTTGGAAGTTCAAGGCTGCTGCGGCTGAGCTTGCTGTAGATTATAAATTGATTTGCGTGTTTGTAAACTACTAAAAATGAATCTCTCAAAGTTCACATCATCATTGCAATTCGTTGCCGGTAGTGCAGACAGCCGCTGATGGCTTTTTGGCTCGGAATCAGTGCGGCCGCCACTGCGACCGTTTGAGTACTTCACGGTTTCAAACCGTGTGGTAGTACGCCAGCAGTACGGTACGGTCACCTAGGCGGGGGGCGGGCTCGGTCAGCCGGACTCCGGCCGCCCGGCCCGACTTGCCGCTCCGGGTCGCCGCCATTCTGAACTGAGCCCGGGTCGGCCGCTGTCACGTCACGTTGACTGCATCATGACATGTGAACGGTACTGATGAGCTCTCCTGATTGTCCTCTTTCTGATTTTTACCTTTAATTTGAGTAAAAGATGAGCCTGCCACCGGCAGTAAGTTTGGGGAACCGTCGGCGTCGGACAGCACTGCGGCAGTTGGCAGGCCCTAAGGTTTGGTTCTCGCTTAGTCCGATCTTTTCTCTTCTCGCCGTTTGGCCCTGTGGGACCGTCGACAGAGTGTCAGGGTCAAGCCTCCTCGACTCTCCAAGTGATCATTGTGTCCTTGTACTGATTTTACTTGTTGAACTTAACTTTGAGTCACTAGTAAGACCGTGACAGTGCTGAGGCATATGATACCTGAACTTCGGCACCCGGGAGTTGGGGCCAACTAGGCTTGAGACTTCATTGAAGTGGGCAGCCTGAGGCGACTCGACCCGGTGACCTGCCAGGTCGCCCGGCCCGGGAAAGGACTCCGGGGGCCCGGAAATATTCAAGGCTTGAATGTCGATGACACAGTGATCGCGGGGCCGCGGGCCGCGGGCCCGCCTTGTTGACTGTGATTGTTTTTTTTCACCTTGTCATTCCGAGGCTCAGAGAAAGACTCGGAAAGAGCAAGGAGGGAGAGGAAGGAGAGGAGACAACTCCACCATGTCAGTAGGAGGCACTCAACGAAGTGTAGCCTACGACAGTGATGTGATGATCGAACCCAGGCTCGGGAGCGAGAAACTTGACATGGTTAGGGTTGCCACATCAGACTCTCAGCTAGACTGAAAACTGAAGTAGGGGAGAGTAGAGGGAGGCAGAGGAAGACCGAGTGAGAGAGATGCAGATGGAGAGGGATGATGGGAGGAGGTAGGAGAGAGAAGAGGAGGGAGGAGCTCATGAGGTTGACGGTGGCCTGATTGTTCCATGATGCCAGCAGGTTCGGGAGGACGATGACCAACGGGCGCTGGGAGGAACTGAGGAAGGAATGCGAGTCGCGCGTGCTGCAAGCTCACCAGCGATTCCTGTCTACCTGGAGGCTCAGTGGGTCGGAGCTGGACGATAATGAGAGCAGGGATCAGGATAGAGACCAGTGCATGGCTCAGTCGCTGACAAGGGAGAGAGACGACTGGTGCCAAGAAGTTTTGCTCGACATAGGCCATGACCATGAAGACATCGCACGCGTCTGTGAGGCCAACGGGAGGAGGAGCGAGGAGGGGATGGAGGCTGTGGGAAACAAGAGCCTGTGCGACTGACTTGACGCTTGTGCGGTTCTGACGAGCTCGCAGCAACATGGACGAGAGAAGGAGGCATGTCCCACCGCCCGAACCCTTCCCGAGGACCCTGCGACCTCCAGCAGAGGTGAGAAGATGGAGGAACGAGACTCAGCTGCGAGGTTGTGGGTCAGAGGGAGAAATGGGGGAGGATAGGTGAAGCTCTGTGCTGAGTGAAGCTGACATGCTTGTAAGGGATCTCCGAGCCATGACGGAGCAAGGAAGGAGGAGGGGATAGGACGAGAGGATGAGTCGGGGCGAGAGCAGGAGTATCCTCCTTCGATGTGCATCGCCAGTCACTTCAGGGACGGCGTTGCTTGGAGGACGAGCACACAACGACTGTCAGAGCTCATCCGGTCTGGAGGGACCACCGAGCGTCAAATCGAGTCTCAAGCTCCTCTGCTTCCTCTGCCCTAGCAGGCGTCTGTCTCAACCTCTTCACTTCATGTGTGACATCTGCGGATCCACTTGCACAGCCCGTCTAGCCCGGGCTGCAGCGTTTTCTCTGTCAGCCCCGACTGGTCCAGCCGCGACCGGATAGAACGCTTGAGCCGAGCAGGGATGAGGATGCGACGGTACCTGCGCCTGCTTAGCTTCCCTTCTCCCCTAGTCACGGGACAACTCACGCTCCCGGCCTCCTCGTCAGCCACTCCTCCAGCCGCCTGTAACGATCCGCCATGATCGCGACGATGTGGCCCTGCAACGTGATGAGGAAGAAGCCTAACTTCGGGTATTACCACCTGTTGCATTGAAGAGGAGGAGGTGGAGGAGAGCGACTCGCCGGGGATCGTCGGCTCTACAAAGAAGACAGAGTCGCCGAACACCTGAAGGTCAATGGCCTCGACCCTCTCTTCGTGTCCCAGCGGCTGATTTCTGTCTTCCTCCATTCCCATCTCCATCCCTCGCTCTCGTTCCGCTTTCTCTTTCCCGTAAAGCACGAAATCCTCAAACTCCTCTCCTGACATCACTTTCCCCCCAGAAAAGCCTCGAGCTCTTCCCCTCCTTGCTGACGCTTTCCACCAGCTCGCATCCTGTTTCCACAGAGGGAAGAAGTGACTGCTCTCGTGACAAACGCTCGCATCCACCGCCCACACGACCTGAAGCTTGTCAGTTCCTTCCAGCAGGAAGCAACTCACTCACTCCCGGCTTGTCTTCTGCTCCCAGAGTTGCGCAGTGAACAGCAGCGAGAGGAGAAGAGCAAAAATCGATCATCCTCGTCGGCAGGCCATTCCTATGGCCCAGCGCCTGCAATCTCCTGCTCACTCAACTCGTCTCCCCCCGTTCATCTACCCTCGTCCCTCTCATCTCCCCCTAAGCGCATTCTGCTCCTTAGTTTGCTCACCATCCACTCCAACGCAGAGGCCGAAGTTGAAAGTCGCTTGCTCGCTTCCTTGCGGAAGTTCTTGACAGCATGTCAGCAAGTTAAGCGCGCAGTTACTTGTCACCTCCACGATCGCCAACTCCTTGTCTTGGCATCTCTCGCTCACCTAGTGGACGTCACTTCCCCGTTCACGTAGCCTGGGCAGCAGTTCGTCATGTGCTTACCTGCTGTGCGCTGGTAAGGAGACGAGACTCGGAGTCCGGCATGCCGCAGAACACGAAGGGACTTCCGTCGGGCATGTCGGAGTTCACGAAGAGGAGCATCGAGAGCTCCTCCCAGCTCCTGACCTCCACCTGGCGGACCAGTGAGTACTCGCCGAGGAGGAAAGACGCCTCCTCACCGTCTCTCCTGCTGGTTCCCGCAGGCTGACCATCGGACGCAGCAGCTCTACCTCGCTCACGAGTCTTGTCAGGACGGCAGACGACGGGGGGCAGTCCGCTCGGCACTTCTCCAGGAGTCCCTCGATGTTGCTCAACGCGCTTTGGACCTCCTCCTCGCTTGCGAGGCACAGAGCCCGCTGCGAGTAGAACGCTACTCCCTCCTCGTCGTGCCGCAGCTCTTGGAAGGCCCCGGGGCTAGAGCTGGAGCATGCCGCACTTGACTCGAGAGCACTGGGAGCCGCCGGGTTGGCAAACGTGCTCGCGCCCTGCCAATTGCTCCATTCGGCCTCGGGGCCTAACCGATCGCCCGCTGAAGGGAAGGCGTCGCGGTTGACCCCCTCCTCTTGCTGTTGGTTGTGCCCCTGGAGCTCTCTCCTCAGCATCTGACTCTCCATGCGCGCAGCCCTCAGCTCCTCCTCCAGCTGAGATATCTCCTCCCTCGCATTCATCAGGTCCGAGTAGGCCACGAAGCCGTTGGATGCGGAAGCATGGCTGGGAGCAGCCTGCAGCTCCAGGATCTTCTCCCTGAGCTTCTCGATCTCCTGCTTGTGCGCTGCTTCCACTTGCTCGTCCTTGAGCTTCTGCTGCTCCTCCTGCGCCCTCTCGTCCTTCACTCGCTGCAAGATCTGTCGATATTTGTCGTTCTTCTCTCGCAGCGCTTGATTCTCGCTCCTCAGGTGGTCCACGTCTGCCTTGTGCATGGTCTCCACATGCTCCTCATGCTGCATCAACTTCGCCAGCTTCTCGTTCGCTTCTCGCAGCTGCATCTCCAGCTCCTGCACCTCATGAGCGTTGCCCTGCCTTGCCATGGTCTCCTCCAGCTCCTCCGCCTTCTGCCTCAGGATCGCCTCTCTTTCCTCCGCACGCGATCTCTCCTCCTCGCTCTCCTGCAGCTGCTGCCTCAGCTGTGACTCTAGGGCTTCCCATTCAGACTTGTGACTCGCCAGCTCAGCCCTCACTGCCATGAGAGTCTGTCTTTCGTTCTGCAATTCGGCGATCCTGGCGTCCTGGGTTGCGATCTTCTCCTGGTATTGGACCAGGTCTTTCTCGAGCTCGATCTTCGCCATCTGTGCCTCTTCAACCAAAGTCTTGCTCTTGTCAGTCGCCTTCTGCGCTTCGTTCTTGATCTTGGTGATCTGCTCTTTCTGCTTCTTGTTCTCGACTTGCAAACTCTCGAGCTCCTCCTCCATGCTAGCTTTGGCTCGTTTCAACTCCTGCACGGTCTGCTGGTGCTCGAAGACTAACTGCTTCTGCTCTGCCAACTGGCTCTGCAGTCCTTCAATCTTGCTCTCCTTCTCGTTAACCTCCAGTTTCATCTCCCTGCTCTCCTTCTCTCGGGCTGCCTGCTGCTCCTGCAGACTGCATGCCTCTTGCACCAGCGACTTTCCATCAGCCTCGACTAGGTTGGCGAGATCGATGGCTTCAAGGACCTGGCGGACAATCAGACAGACCTCGCCCTGCATGTCTCCCAGCTGCAGAGAAGTCGTGGGACTCTGCAAGAACGTGAGCAGGAGCGAGTGTCCTCTTCTGTCACCTTGCTGCTCGACTGAAGTCTTTCCTCGCTTGCAAGCTTTTCTTCCTCAAACTTGGCCTGTTGCTCCTCCAGCTTCCTTTTCGTGGCCTCGAGATCTTTTCGAAGCAATTCACCGTCCTCCTCCAGCTCAAAAATCTTAGCTCGGAGTGTCTTTATCTCCCCTGTTGCTTCCTCCAACTCCTTCTCCAGCAATCTCGCAGTTTCCTCCCTCTTCTCCTCCTGCTGCTTCTTCTCTCCTACTTCTCTTTCCATGGCTGCCAGCGCGGATTGAAGAGTCAGCTTCCCTTGCTCGGCGGCAGCAACAGCACTCTTCATCTCCTCGTTGGTCTCTTTCAACCGCTTCGACTCCTCAATCAACCTCTTCATCTCCTTCTCGTGCTCCTTCGCTCCGTCCCTGACGTGTGAGTTTGCTTGTGCGAGAGCCAAGTCCTTCTTCAAGTTCTCGATCTCGCTCTTTGCGGCCATTAGGTCTGCTTCCAGCCATTCCTTGTCCACTTGAGCTTCTTCAGCTGCGTTGAGCTTCACCTGTTGTGTCGTCAAATCCTTCTCCTCAACTTCTCCTCAACTCTCTCCCGTATGACACGGACGCGCATCCCAACCCTGCTCGTTCGCCCGTAACACTCTGCTTCCTCTACTCCCCTTCCTAACTCACCTCTAGTTCAGAGATCCGTCCTCTTGCTTCCCCCAGCTCGGCAGTGAGAGCTGCAACATGAGCAGCAGGCCCCTGCTAGACACGCTCGACGTCAGGAAAGTGAGAGCAGTGAGAACCTCCAGTACATGCGAGCTCGACGGGTCGCCAGCTGCTGCCCTGCTCGATGAAGAGGCAGGAGACAGAGTCAAGTGAGACGCCTTGAGTGCTTCGATCTGCACCCACATGAACAAGGAAGGAGAGAGGGAGGAGCTTATCATCACCTCCTCAGCATGCTTCTTCTTAAGGGCATCAATCACTTGCTTCGCTTCTCGTTTCATCCTTTGTAAACAGAAATTCACTGCCTTCCACCACAACACTGTTCGCTGCACCTGTCAAGCATAGCATCTTTCTTGGACAACTCGCTCATGATGCCTCCTTGGTCATCGCCTCCTGTCTTCCCGGACGCCTGACAAGCTCCTTCAGTCCGGATTGGTTCACACTCGCTGTACCTTGAGAACAGCATTCTCATTGTGCAGCTGTTGATACTTCTGCTGAAGTTGCTGAAACCTTGGAGGCAAAGTCAACCTCACAAACTCAGGGGAGTGGTGGCCAATCACTTGAGTTGTTGATTGTGAAGACTCTCAGCCAATTTCTTGATCTGCTCAGCTTGCTCCTGAACCTTCTTCTCCAGATCTTCGCGTGTTCTGACACCGTTGGACATCGGCGACAAAGAACCCAGCATAGCGGCGGCGTACAGCTCAAAGTTTCAACCTGACTTTACCACATTCCTGTCCACGGTTGTGAGCATGAGACCCAAGAGCTCTGTATCCACACCAACAACGTGACGATCCAAGGGGGGGCAAACGAGCCTGGAAGACAAGGAAGAAAGAGTCAGAAGCCGAAGGTAAAGTCCATGGCCAGATGATGAACAAGACCAATATGAGAGTGAAGCTGTGGAAGAGCGATAGGGGACGTGAAGCAACTTGAGTGTAGCAGGGCAAATCGAAGGTCGAAGTGAGGCGGGAGATCGTTGGAGGATTGCATCACGGTGTAAAGAGAGAATGTAGTTGAGACTGAGCTCGAATAGACAGGCAGCAGGAGCAGGGCAGCATTAGAAGAAGAGGAAAAGGAGGGTGGGGAGGAATTGGGCGGGGGCGAGGGGAAAACGGGAGGGGGAAGGAAGACGAGGAGAAGTTGGAGGGACGAGGAGAAGTTGGAGGTTGGTCAAGGATGAGAGGGTGGAGGAGGAGACGGTGGAGGAGGAGAGGGTGGAGGAGGAGACAAGGAGGAGACAAGGAGGAGACAAGGAGGAGAGGGTGGAGGGTGGAGGAGGAGACGGCGGAGGAGAGTGTGGAGGAGATGGGAGGAGGAGACAAGGAGGAGACAAGGAGGAGACAAGGAGGAGACAAGGAGGAGACAAGGAGGAGAGGGTGGAGGAGGAGACGGTGGAGGAGGAGACAAGGAGGAGACAAGGAGGAGACACGGAGGAGAGGGTGGAGGAGGAGAGGGTGGAGGAGGAGAGGGTGGAGGAGGAGAGGGTGGAGGAGGAGAGGGTGGAGGAGGAGAGGGTGGAGGAGGAGAGGGTGGAGGAGGAGGGGTGGAGGAGGAGGAGGTTAGGCGGAAGGATTGGCAGGCATTCTTCGCTAGAGCATCGTAGTGACATAGCAGTAGAGGTGAACGATGCTGGGGGAAACATCCTCTGATCCACGATATGAAATATATATCGAATATTTGTTTCTATATTTCAATTTTTGATATCAATGATGAAATATATGGTTGTAGAAAATGAGTTTGTAAGGAAAATTGATACCCCCTCGGACAAGAATCACTGAGTTTATCCGTTACCGCCGCAACTGAACGTTACCTTGCTCACCCGGCCGCGGCCCGGGCCGCGGGCCGCCGGCCCGGGCGGCCAGGGCTAGCCGAACTGGGAGACAAACGCTCCTGCCGGGCAGTTGGACGGAACTCAGTCAGTAGGCTATGGCAGCGACGGGCCATGACAGCAGGCAGCGGCAGCGCGAAAGTTTTGATTGATTTGATGAACAACTATGATATACAAGCCTGCACTGAGCAGTGTGAGGGAGTAGGGTCATCGCGGGCGAGGGGAGCGCTGTCCGATGGCGCCCATCATGATCTGCAACATGTTTCCGTTCTCTGTTTGATCGGGCACTTCGATGATGCTGAGGATGCTGTCTAGCAGCAGGTTCCATCGCATGCCAATGTGCGCTTTCTTCACCTTGCGGAACTGCTTCTGAGCCGAAATCTTGATCTGCTCGAGCACGTAGGACTCGCTGTGTAGACTGAAGTGAGGTTGCAGGAACGAAGAGAGCGAAGGGGTGGGAGGAGTGGGGGGAGGAGGAGCGGGGAGTGATAATGGGGCGAGGAAGGGAAGGAGTGAGTGCCGCATGATGGGAGGGAGGGGAAAGGAGGGAGGCGCAAGGAGAACACCTGGAGGATCCCAAGAGCTCGAGCATGTCCGAGTATGTCAGTTTGTACGCCTGTACCATTCCCTTTGCCTTGACCGTCTCCTGGTACGTCTTGCCGACCAGCATCTCCGTGAAGCCAACGCATCGCAGGTCATTGTGGAGGATCTCCAGCCTGCCCTGGTAGACTTCCGAGAAGATCTTCCCTGTCCGTATCACGTACGCAGTGGCTGCAGGCTTGCCGTAGGAGCAGAGCTCCTCGCCTGCTTGCAGCCGTCAATCGCAATAAACTGTAGAGAGGTGGAAGGAAAGCTGGAAAATCAGAGGGATGGAAGGGGAGGAAGAGGGCGAAGAGGGTAGCTCCAGGAAGGGCACGGGACAGGAGGAGGGATTACCATCGGCGAAATCCTCCCGATTGAATGCCATTCTCCTTGCAATCCGCTCAGCAGCATACTGCGTAAGGCCCTCCATGCTGGGGACGAGTTCTTTCGTGCGGAGAATCGGGGCTATGGCGAAAGTGGCGATGGAGGGAGCCATCTCGGGGAAGCGATCGAGTACGTTCTCGAGATCTTCCTTGGCGAGCATGAAGAGCTGACAGTAGTCCAGTGACGTCACCGTTGCCGTCCTCCTCGACTCCATCCACAAGGAGATCTCCCCGAAGCACTGGCCAGGCCCGATCAGCCCGAGGCCCCTGGGCTTCCCTCCGACGTCCTGGACAGACACCTCGGCTGAGCCCGACTTGAGCTACAGAGACATCGGTCAGTTGGTGTGGCATCGCAACAAGAGCTCACCAGAAACATCTCCGAGCCCAAAGTGCCCTCTGCCGTGATCACTTGCCCTGGCATCGTGCGCAGCGGCCGACGAGCCATGCGTACGACGCACTGTGCGATGAAGCCTTCACTTGCTCCCGTGAAGAGGTAGCATGAATCGAGAGCCCGAGGAAAGATCTTGTGTATCACCCGCGATTGCATCTCCGTCGGCAACTCATCGAGGAGTTTCTTCTCAACATCAAAGTGCTCGTTTGAGTATCTGAACTCAAAGTAATCCAAGATGTCGTTGCGCAGCATCCCGTCGATCCCGTTGGATCGCAAGAACTCCATCACCGCATTGATCCTGTTGTCTCTCTCTGTCTGCGCCCTGTTGATCGTCTCCCAGATCTCAATCACTTTGCTCAACATCGTCGCGTTGATGACGACGCTCAGGCAGACAGTCAAGACGCCGAACCAAGCTTCAGGTGTCGTGGTAGCGTTGTAGGGATCGATGGCAAACATGATCTGAAGAGTGACCATGAATGAGACAGAGTACTGCTGGAACGGCGAGGCAGTTAGCTGCAGACCGATGGCGGTCTGGTATTGCTCAAACCCTGAGAGACCAGATGCCGGATCAATGGTGCTGTCGGTCGACTGGACCAGCCACGAGAGGCACGTCCAGATGTGATTGATCGACATCACCACGATAGCTAAATTGACCATCTGCAGAATGTTGTTGTTTCCTATCCGCCTCTTCAAGTAACGTAGCCAGCTCTTGATCTTGTATGACTGGAACAATTTGTAGATGCGAGTTAATCTGTATAGACGCAGCAAACGCAAGTAGAGCAACTGGGAGCTGTTGGACGTGTTACAGCTAGGGACTCCGAACATGACAATCCATTGAATCGGAACGCTCGTGATGGTGTCCACCAACATACCGTTCTTCATGTACATTACAATCACTTTCGATGGCTCCAAAACCGCTTCTGAGTTCTCCCATGTGGAAGCATTATTATTCCCGAATTGACCGAACAGGAATGTTCGAAGCAGCACATCAATCAAGAAAAATCCATCCACGGAAAAGTCGAACCAATCCCACTCGGAGAAAGCAGGGTTGCAGTTAGAGGAGGGAATCTCAACAAACGTAGTTCGGTAAATTCCAATCGTCGCTATGTACAGGATCAACATCACGTAAACTATTGTCCAAATGTCAACAAACTTTGAGTCTGGGTGAAAGCATTTGTAGAAGTTGAGAAGATGCAGTCTCGAAGTGTCAGATTCCTGGCTGTTGTTCAGGTCTGACAGGGCTTGCATGAGGCGAGCAACAACCACTTGATTCGCCGTCACATCCGCCTTGCCCCCTAAACTCTCCAAGAATTCCTCTTTCGATTGACCATACCCGAGGACCCTCCTCCGCTCATCCTCGTCAATCTCCACTGGCGACCATTTCGACAGCGGGTCAGACATGAGCGATGCGCTCTTATGCAGCGTCGGCCTCCTCGAGGGTCTTCTGGTCCCTCCAAGAGCCAGCTTTACCCTCTCCTCCGTCAGCCGCCGCTCACGATCCTTCTGCTCCTTCTTCAAGATCGCCTTCACTTCAGCTTTGAGAGAAGGATAGTCAAACGTCAGCTCAATAATCTCCGCATTTGTTCGATCGCTGGAGAGGATGGCCTGAACACCAAGGTCATGCACATCAGGTCACGATGAAAGCGCAACAACAAACCTTGAGAGCGGTGAGAGTTGGAGATCCAGAGTTCATGTAGCCCTTCGCTTCAGCCGCAAGCCTCGAGAACAGATTGTTGTGCTCAAAAGCCTTGACGATCGTGACACGATGGGCGGCTCGCTGCAGAGCTTTGTTGATGGGAAATTTCTTTGCGAATGAAGCCTGCTTCAGTTCAGGGCGTTTTCCAAAAGCTTTCTTGGCGATGCCAATCTTCTTGGAAGCTATCCGCAACCTGTCCAGGGCCTTGCCATCTTCAGCTATCTCTTGAACCTCTTGTTCAGCATCAGCTTCTGGTTCAACAGGGGTCGAAGCAACTTTCGAACCCCTGTTGGGAGATTTCAGGGGAGAGTGCCATCCATTGCTCCCGTTGAGGAACTTGCCCTTCTTCGCCCATGCAGTGATCAGTTTCACCTTCTGGAAAGCAGATATTGTCTTCCTCTTTGTCTCTGATACCTCCTCTTGCGGGGTCTCCTCGTGCTCGGATCCGCTGACGTACATCCGAGTCATATTGGGCGCAAAAAGCATGTCCAGCGTCCCATCGGTATGGCCAACATGTCTGCGCCAGTACTGAGGGTTGGGATCCACCTTCTGTTTCTGCTTCTCCGCGGCATCTAGTTCAAGTAGATCGTTACGGGGAGCAGAGAAGACAACAGCACATTATCCTCACCAACTGCGGGACCCGCATCGAACTTGTGCGCATCCGACGCATGCCCGTCCATGCCGGTAGAATGCGCGCCATTCTGACGGTCGCTGATAGCTTCGGAGAAGTTTTCAACCTCGTAGAAGGATTCCAGTCGGGCACTTGAACCATCGTCCGTGTTCATCGGTGCTAGTGTGGGGGAGTTGCGACGAGATTCAAAAGCTATGCCGACTGACCATCAAGTGAAACGAGAATGAACAACCTTCAAGACAGACGAAGTCTGGTCGGCAAATCCTTAAATTTCATACCCCTGGACTTTCCATGCCATCATGAGTAATGTATGTTTCTGCCTGGGTGACTTTTAGGTGCGGGAAGGAGTCCAGGTCGATGCCAGAAGAAAGAGGGAGAGAGATCACAATGAAAGGGAAGAGCTAGAAGAGCTCAGAGAGAATCAGGAGCAGGAGAGCAAGGATGGTCTACTCCGGTCCTCCTCCTCTCCCATCTTTTCCTCTCCCCATACTTCAAACATTGCCCGAGTCTTGCCATGGCCAAACGCAGGATGACCCTACCCCCTCAGCTTCACCCCCGTAAATCCCGGATTGGATGGGGGTGGCCTCCAATTACCCTGACTAAGCTTCTGATGAGACTACCCACCCCTCTCTCTAGCACCCCCCCTATCTTTCAACGACTGCTTGTGAAATCTTTTTCATAATAACCCCACCTCCATCCTGTAGTACCCCACCCATATTTCCCCCTCATTGGTTTTAATAATTACACCCCTACCCACCTATTTCCCATCACTCACAGGCCAGCAACATGTACACAAACCTACCCTACGATACCAATAACCCCACCCCCATTCAACTCTCCCCGTCCCAAAATGAACCTACCTTCAGGACCCTTGCTTCTTTCACAACCCCTACCCCCTAATACTACCACCCCTGTCTCTCTTCGTTGCCTCCTGCGTACCTCAACTAGTTGGCGCAGTTACCCATCCATGTTTCACCTCCCGATGGAGGGGTGGTACTACTTACCAAGGAGTCAGAGGGGTACCTATAAGGGTTTTACAGGGGGTGGGCAGGGGGGGTAAGGTTCTTTTTTCCTGATGGGGTGGTCCTGTGGGGTCATTATAGTACGAGTTGGGGTGTCGTGTAGAAGAGTATGGTGGTTTTCTTTGGGAGGGGTGATAATGAAGACAAAAGGGGGGGTGGGGGTGATGGTGAGGGTAGCGGTTGGGCGAGGAGGGGATGAGGGGGGCTGATGATAGGTGCAGGAGGGCCTGGCACGGCCCAAGGCTGACTTCCCAAGGGGTCACTAGCGATCCGGCCTTGTAAACTCAATAAGCTCGAAGAGTTCCTCTCGATTTTTCTAGCTTTTTGAGTTTCCTCTGGGTCGTCGCAAGCGCCATGCCACGAAAGTGCTCCGTCTAGCCAGGATCATAGCCTCCACGTCCTCCACGTCCTCCACATCCTCCACATCCTCCACGTCCTCCACGTCCTCCACGTCCTCCACATCCTCCACGTCCTCCACATCCTCCACGTCCTCCACATCCTCCATTTCCTCCACGTCCTGCTCCTCCTCTTCCTCCCACATCACCCCCCTTAAACACCCCCGGCAAATCCCCCCCTCCCCTCCCTTTCCTTCTTCGCCCCACTCTGCTCTTCCCTGGTCGCCGAATTTCTTCGCTCCTGCACCTTGTAATTCGTCGCTCCCTATTGCCTCCTCCCCTTGCTTCATCTTGGGCTTCCATTTCCCATTCCGTGCATCAAGTCGCTGTTACCCCTCATTCTTCATCTCACCGAAACGAGTGGGGGACACTCCACAGGGAAACGACGACAACCAAGGCCCGCAGAAGCAGAATCAAGGGGAGGGAAGGGAGGATGGTATGAGGGATCGCGGGTTGAGATGGTGAGCGATCGCAAGAGTCCAGCAGCGGATCAGTCGGGAGACGCAAGAGGAGAGAAAACGTGAAATCTGATACAGCAACGGATGGAGGAACAAGTTTAACAGTGACATGCTTCTGTCTCTGCTGGTGCTGGTGCTGCTTCTGTTCGCCTCCTCCCTGCCCTTCTCGTCCACATCCACGATGGTGAATTTGGCGCCTCACGCGAGGCAGGGGGGCGGTGTGTTGCCCAGGTCGATGAGGCTGCAAGGGGGGATACAGCAGGTGACTCTCCGTCTCGACGTTGTTGGTTGTGCATGACGACTTCTTCAAGAGCGGGCGACGAGAATCGAGGCGGCATGACGGTAACTTGTCGCTGCTCGTGAAGGCACTGCCTGACGTTTGCACGTGCGGTGCTGCAGAACTTTCGATGGAGGAGGAGGGAACATCGTTCACCCTCCCTCTCTACGTTGTGCGCAGGCAGCCTCAGGTGCGCGATCAGGTCGAGGGACAGCAGAGTGACAGGAGAGTCAGGCGGGGATCGTGCTGATAGCACACGTCCATGCATCCGCCTCCGAGGTCGTTCGGCCTGGCATGTTCGCCGTGTCTTTCAGGTGCTCCTCATCTCTCCCCTCTGCTCGCAGCTCCATGATCCCCCAATGCGCTCCAGCCACCTGCTGTTGCAGAGTCGGAGAGAGGGCAGGTGGATGGAGGAGACCTTGGGGGATCTCATGTACCTGGACGTCCTCGTTGTGCATGACGTCGTGGAGGGCTCCGTCATGCAGGACATCGCCAATGGTAGCTCCTCTCTTCCTCCCGCTGTAGCAGCTCCCTGAACCTTTCACAGCTGCTGCTGAGGCAGCGGTGAACGGCCTGGAGAGGCTGGAGGGCTCCAAGGGACTCTCAACTGCGCTGGGAGGCAGCATTGAGCAGTGCTCCTTGACCCTTCGAGATCCCTTGAGCGGACCAGGGTGTGTGGGAGTCTTGCGGGACTGTCTGCACGAGGTCAGGGCTGAGGCTCCTGCTCCGTCGGTGACGCTGCTCTGGCAGGTAGGAGTTGTGGATGGGGTGAAGGATGCAAGCGGGCGATGGCACTGCGTTACCTCCATGCACACCCCAGGTGATAGAACCGCCTTCTCTTCTCTCATCCCTCCACCTCCTGCCTGCCTCATGTTGCTGGTGATCTTCGGACTGACCGCCTGCTAGCTGTTCCCGCGATCGGGGCGGCGGAGGATGGGGGGATGAAGAAGGAGGATCTTGCAGACGAGATGGAGGTCTCGACGAGCAGGGAGGAGGTTGCTACGGGGAGAAGCTCTGCTTGATCTGAACCTGCACAGCGAGCCAGAGAGTGGGAGCTGTCAGCAGAAGCTCAAGTGGACGACCCCGAGCATGTGAAACACTTCTCTTCCTCCACCATCACCTCCCTCCCTCCCTCCCTCCTTCCCGTGCCTGTCCCTATGGAAACCTAAACATGAGCTTTAGCTTCTACCTTTATAGACTTTCTCCTCCTCCTCCTCCTCCTCCTCTCTTCTGCCGTCGCTTGTGATCCTACCTCTAACTTGCTTGTCCCTCAAGGTTTTCGTCAGCATGGGCCCTGAAGACGTCCGTCAGACTCCCCGTCCTCTCAAACTTCCTTCCCCTCACATAGCGTATGTCCTGCTCTGCCTCGCGCCGCTGAGTTGCGTTGCAGGCCGCGGAAGGAGGACGAGACGTCTGAGCTCGAGCACGAGAGTTCCAGGTGGGGACTCGTTTCTCCTCCTCATCCCCTCATCCCTCCTCCTTTTCCCTCCTCCCTCTCCTCCTCCCCTGTGACGGTTGGGATGCAGCCCTTCCTTCGGGGACTTCCGGCACTCGGTCAACAGGCTGGTGAAGATTCAGCAGATGCAGCAGGAGGGTCAAGACGACTCGTCGGACTTGGGGGATGCAGGGGGCGAGAGAAGGCGACTAGGCAGGGGCGATGAGACCCAGGTGAGGAGCAGGAGGAGGGGGTAGAGGAAGGGAAGGGGTAGGAGGGGGGGTGAGAGAGAAGGAGTAGGGGGCGAAAGGCAGGGGAGAGCCAAGCTGAGGTTAGTCAGGTCCTGTCGACGGTTCGTTTTCACTCTCCTATGATGGATGCCTACAAGACCCCCCGAGACACGCGATCTGTTGTCTCCACCCCAGGGAGATCGACGAGGAAGATTCGCACGCCTCCTCCTCCTCCCACCCCCGTGAGCGCGACCAAGCAGCGCGAGGCTGTGGGAGGAGATGGCGAGTGGGCGGTGGTGGGATGGCTGGGTGAGCTCGGGCTAGGGCAGTACGCTCCCGCGTTCCTGGAGCACGGCTGGGACTCTCTCGAGGCCGTTGCCGCCATGGGTGCGATAGAGCAAGAGGAGGCAGCGGCTGACGTGATGGCAGGGGAGGACGACCTGCTCATTATGGGCGTCAAGGCCGGGCATGCCCGAAAGATCTTCCGACGGCTCTCGATGCTACCGGGAGCGAAAGGAGGAAAGGGAGGAGGAGGAGAATGAATGGGAGGCCTCAGGTCTATAACAAGATAGCAGGAGCTTTAGGCGAGACCCTTGCTGGCCGGGTATGCCTTGGCCGCTGCCACCGCCTGCTCGAAGCCGCTGGCATCCTGGGCAAGAAAAGTCAGAGGGCAACGGCAGCAGCAGCAGAAAGACCTTGGCGGCTCCCTGAGCGCGGTCGCTCTTTCCTCCACCCTTGCCGCCGCACTTCTCGAGCGCCGCGTTGATCCAGTCCTTGGCGTCCAGGCCTCCAGCTCCTCCTGGAACCACAGCCAGGCAAGAGACCTTGTCGCCCTTGGAGGAGCGGGAGAGGAGGCAGACGGGAAGAGCCGGTGCCCTGGTGTTGATGGTCTTCATGGCCGCATCGATCGCCTTGACGTCTCCGTCCACGTCCACCTCCTCGACCACAAACTTGCCGCTCACCTCCAGCGCCTCCGCCCATCGAAGCGCCGAGTCCGTCTTCTCCTTGATGATCTGCTTCTCCCATGCGAGCACCTTGTCCTTCAGCTTGTCGATGTTCTTCTTGATCGCATCCTTCCTCACATAGTCCATCACGATCGCGTCCACGTCTGTTCGCATGCTCGAGATCTCCCGGTCCAGCTCGCTCATGTCCGTGATGCTGCCGGCGTTTGCCACGCGCACGTCAAAGTCCTCGGCCGCCTGCTTCGCCTGCCTCGCCGCATCCCGTGTGACGCAGACGACGCGGCGGACGCCCTTGGCCGTCCCTTCCTCTCCGAGGATCGAGAAGTCGACCGCCTCCTTGGTGTTGTCCATGTGCGTTCCTCCGCAGAACTCGACCGAGAGCTTCTCCCACTCGCCGCTATCGGGCTTAGCCAGCAGGTCGTCGATGGAGTGGGGAACTGGCCCGACGCTGACGACTCGGACGGGGTCGGGGTAGACCTCTCCGAACACAGCTCGCAGCGACTTGATCTGCTTGGCCGCAGAGAGTGCTACCTCCTTCTTCTGCAGCGGGTAGCCTCCTCGGATCAGCTCCTGCACCAGCGTCCTCACCTGCTCCACCTCCTCGACCTTCATCGGCTTCCCGTAGGAGAAGTCAAACCTCAGCTTGTCCGGCCCCACGATGCTGCCGCGCTGGTCGATGTTCACCGCCCCGTCAGCTCCCAGCACCTTGCGGAGGGCGAAGTTGAGGAGATGAGTGGAGGTGTGGTTCGAGGCGATGAGCGATCTCCTCTCATAATCCACGTCCAGCTCAGCCGCGTCCCCGACCTTGACCGACCCTGACCCGAGGTTGCCCGAGTGCAGGATGTATCCTCCGAACTTCTGCACGTTCTGGACGTTGAACACGGCCTCGGAGGTGGTGACGCGGCCAGTGTCGAACAGCTGTCCTCCGGCCTCCGCGTAGAAGTTGGTCTTGTCGAAGATTAGGCCACAGTAAGTCCCCTCCTTCGCCTCCGACAGGAACTCCTTGCCGTCCCAGATCGCCTTCACCGTCGCATTTCCTCGTGGCCCGCTGCCAGCTGACGTCCAGTCGTACTTGGTCGAGTCGTCGGTGGCCACGACTCCCAGCTCCTTGGCCAGCTTGTCGGTCTGCTCGGCCTCCAGTACCAGCACAACCTCTCCCTCCTTTGCTTCACCTCGCGACTTCGCGCGCTGCTTCTCCATGCACTCTTCGTAGCCCTGAGAGTCGACGGAGATTCCCTTTTCCTCCGCCATGAGCAGCGTGAGATCCACGGGGAACCCGAAGGTGTCGTAGAGCATGAACGCATGTTCGCCGCTGATTCTTCCTGCCGACTGGTCCATCTCGGCAAACTTCTCGAACTGGGCGATACCCCTGTCGAGGGTGCGCAGGAACGACACCTCCTCCTCCAAGATGATGGAAGCCACCTTCTCGGGCGTCATGCCAACTCCTGGGTTGCCCTTCAGCTCGGGAAACGCCTCCCCGAGCACGTCGACCACGATGGAGGACAAGCTGGAAAAGAAGCCAGCCTCGTACTGCGTGCCGGGAGGGTAGAGGTACTGCCTGGCGTACCTGACTCCTCTGCGGAGGATACGGCGGATCACGTAGTTCCTCCCGTCGTTGCCAGGCTGAGCTCCGTCCGTCACTGCGATGGTCAGGGTGCGGATGTGATCTGCAACCACGCGGTACGCCATGTCGATGCCGTCGCTGTCGTCCTTGCCCACCTTGCCGGTGTAGGGCCTGACGCCAGTTCTCTTGTGGATCGCGTCGAAGATGGGAGTGAAGATATCTGTGTCGTAGTTTGACATCTTGCCCTGCAGGATCGAGGTGATGCGCTCGAGCCCCATCCCGGTGTCCACGTGCTTGCCGGGAAGCATGCTCAGCGACTGATCCTTGTTGCGGAACATCTGGATGAACACCACGTTCCAGATCTCGAGCACGTTGGGGTCGTCCATGTTCACCAAGTGAGCAGCGTTCCTTCCTCCGATACGGTCGTAGTGCAGCTCAGTGCAAGGGCCACAGGGCCCAGTGTCTCCCATCTCCCAGAAGTTGTCCTTCATGTTTCCCTTGAGCACTCGCTCAGGGGGGAGGTACTGGAGCCACAGCTGACGCGTCTCCTCGTCAGGCGGCACAGTCCCTCCCTTGTGTTGGTCGCCCTCGCAGTAGGTGGCATACAGACGGTCCGGCTCAAGGCCGTACACGTTGGTGAGGAGCTCCCATGCCCAGGCCGTGGCCTCCTTCTTGAAGTAGGTGGCGAAGCTCCAGTTGCCGAGCATCTCGAAGAAGGTGTGGTGGTACACGTCCTTACCCACGTCGTCAAGGTCGTTGTGCTTGCCTCCCGCGCGGATGCACTTCTGCGAGTTGCATGCTCGCTTGAGAGGGGCGAGCGGACTCTTGGGGTCGACGGTGCCCATGAAGATGGGCTTGAACTGGTTCATACCTGCGTTGGTGAACAGCAGGGTGGGGTCATCGTAGGGGACGACACTGTTGGAGGCCCAGAACGTGTGGCCGCCGTCAGCCCCTCCCTTCTCATCCTTGGACTGGAAGAACTCGATGAAAGTCTTGCGAACTCTGGACACGGGCCATTCTAACTCCGACATGTCCGGATCTCCTGTGAGAATTAGTGAGAACCGAATCAAGCCTGATGACGGCGGGATGACCCGCACAGCCGTGAAGAAGAGGGGGGGGAAGGGAGGTAGAGGCCCTCTGCATTCATGCCGAGAAGGCAGCGTGTGCTAAAGGGAAGGATGGAGGCGAGCTGTGAAGTTTGAACACAGGAAGTCAACTCTTCCAAGGACAGGAAGCTCTCTGCCCTCTGAGGGCTCAAGGAGGAAGTTGAATGTGTCACACCAAAAAGACCAAAACAGAGTAATCAAGGCAACGATCGAGGAGAGATTCTTCAAAAATAAAGAAATCAGCGTCATCAAGAGATAAAATCACTGTTCTGCGAGCTCTGGAGAGGCATGATGTTGTGCAGGGGAGGCAGTGGAGGTTGAGGAAGGGAGGTTCAGTGAAACGGGTGGGGGAGATGTGGTGGATGATGGAAGGAAGCGAGAAGGTGAAGGGAGGGAGGAGGTAGGGGTGGAGAAAGGAGATAGGAGAGGGAGGAGAGCGAGGAGCAGGAGCTGCTGCTGGAGCTGCTGCTGGTGCTGGTGCTGGTGGAAGAGAAGCGTCAGACAAGGCATGACAGCATGGAGGCTGGCGTGGCAGGGGAAAGCGTGCATTTGTACAGGGGGTAGGGTACTCTTGGAATTCCTGGGGTATGTGGTTAAAATGAGGGGATGGGGGTACAAAATTCTCATGTAAGTACCGGTGCTTTTGACTTTTTAATCATACCAAGCGACTAACGTTGTGAAAATAGTACAGGAAAAGGGGTGGGGTAGTAGCTCCTTGGGGGTGAGGGTTTATCGCCATTTTGGTGGATGGTTGTATACCGGGTACTTGACCAGGTTTCTTCGTGTAAACACAGGGGGTGGGGTCATATACCCCTCCCCCATCTCCTCTTCCATCTTTCCCCAGTTCTGATCAGCCATCATACCGGTCTTTAAAGGATGGGTTAATTTAAGCAGGATCTCACTTAAATTTAGTCACCTCGCTTGATTTAAGCCCCTTGGTTCGATAAAAGATGCTGAGAAGAGAGCAGACGAGGGAGGGAGGGGGAGGGGAGGAAGCAGGAGAAGGAGAGAGAGGAGGGGAAGCAGCGAGAGGAAGGAGAGGAAGGGAAGAGGTGGTTCGGATGAGTTCGAGATTCAGATGCGAATATGGTCGAAAGGTTATACAAGTTCAAGTAATGGTTTCTGATGTCGGAAGACAAGAAAAGGGTAGACGTTCCTTATTCTGATTTGTATTGTCGCCAGCATCTCGGCTCCTTGCATGGACTATGGGCGACTCCTGCAAGGTCTCCGACATCTTTGAGATGGTGCAGGAGCGAGCGAGCAGCACCAACGTCTGCCCCTTCTGCAGCGAGTCCCTCCAGTACCTGTGCTCCTTCGCCAAGCATCTGCATGTCGAGCAGTGCAAACTTGAAGCAGATCGGGAGGCAGGCAGCGAGGTCGTCAGCCCTGGCAAGGCTGATCATTCTGTGATCGACCTTAGCAGCCCCAGCGAGAGCCCAGCAGACGCCCGCGTGCTGCCCCCGTCCAGTCCGGCGAGAGAGGACGGGGAGGAGGAGTGCTCCAACTCACGGAGGGGCGGCAGCTGTGAGGATCAGGTCTCGGCTCATGACGACGTGCCGGGACAAGGGGCTGGACGTGCGGCAGCGAGCGTAGTGAGGGAGGAGAGTGAAGAGGATGAGCTATTTGCTCTGGACCTGCGGACGAGGGTCGAGATGAAGATGCGAGGAGACAGCGCGTGCCCGTCGGTGCAGGACTATCCTCGCAGGAAGATCCGAAACACCTCGGGCATGAAGCTAGGAGAGGTCGAGAGCTCCCAGGATGGCGGAGTAGGGAGCAGAGGAGGATCAGGAGGAGGAGGAGGAGGAGGAGGAGATACTGCTGCTGCTCCTTCCACTACTGTTGCTGTTGTTGCTGTTACTAGAGGAGGAGGAGGAGGAGCAGCAGCAGCAGCAGCAGCAGCAGTCAGGAAGAGAGGGGGCTCAGTGAGAGGATCGCGGTGCCCTCGTGGTGTTGGCAACTCAGCTGAGGCTGAGAAGATGCCCAAGTACGAGGAGATGGAGGTAAGAGAGCTGAAGGAGCTGATGTCGAGTTACGGCATGAAGTCTGGATCGAAGGTCACGACAAACTCTCGCCCTGCTCCTCCTCTGCTCCTCCTCTGCTCCTCTCCCTGTTCCTGCTGCTCTCCCTACACTCGCGTTATCTCCTTCACTCTCCCCCTCCTCGTCTCGCCGCAATCTTTTGCTGAACTTCTCCCTCCAGACGTTCATGGTGCAGAAGCTCAAGTCCATTTGGCATCAGCTGCATGTACAAGAGGAGGGGGAGGAGGGAAGAGCAGAGGAGGAGCCAGCGAAGGGGAGGGACAACACTGCTGCCAACGAGCGGAGGAGGAGGAAAGTGGAAGAAAGCCTTGTGGCGTGTGTGGACTTGTTGCGGGAGAATGAAGCATATGACGAGATGCTGCTGTGCCAGAACCTGTCTCTGACGCACATCTCCAAGGTCCCTCTCCTCCCTCTCTCCTCTTCCTCCTCTTGTCTTATCCCCTCTTCTCCTCTCCCAACAACTCTTGCTCTCCTCCTCGCTCCCATCTCCTTCTGCTCGTCTTCACCGTTGACTCCTCCCTTCCCTCAGATACTGAAAGACGCCAACCTTCCCATCAGCTCTAAGATGCTCTGCCATCTCCTCGACGACCAGGGCATCAGCTACTCCTTCCCCCAGAACGAAAAGGACGGAAAGTCTCGACACCGTCGAAGATGACGGTGGAGGCAAGACTATCATGTGGAGGAGTAACAAGAGGAGGAAAAGATGGTGCTAGTGGTGGTGGTGGGAAGCGGGGAAAGGATAGAGCAGGTAACAGGAGTGTAGGTGTATTCGTATGGTTGTTGTATAGACTCTACTGGAGGCGCTCAAGCTGCTTGCGGAGCTCCTCGCGTTAACGTGATGGTAAATTTATGAACCTGCGAGAGCAGAAAGTGAGAGAAAAGAGAGAGCGAGAGACAGAGAGGGAAGGAGGAGAGGGAAGGAGGAGAGGGAAGGAGGAGAGGGAGAGGGATAGGATCCGAGAGGTGAGGCGAGCAGGGACAGCAGGGAGAGGGGGAGGAGGGAGGAAGGAAGGGGAACAGGCAGCCTAGAGGAAGAGGAATATATCGACCTTGTCCTGAGCAAATCTCTTGAAAGTCATGGAGATTTGACTTCCTTTCTGTTGAGATGAAGTCAATCCACGAAAGGATGAAATATCAACATCATGACGAAAACACACAAATTGATTTGTTCACAGTGAATCATCATCGTCGTCGTCGTCATCCTCCTCCTCCTCCTCCTCCTTAACGTCATCGTCATCATCATCATCTCCAATAACGTCGTCGTCGTCGTCGTCGTCGTCGTCATCATCATCATCATCATCATCATCACCGTCACCATCATCATCATCATCATCACCACCACCACCACCACCACCACCATCATCATCATCATCATCTTACTTGTCCCAGGATCAATTGAGAAGCGATTTCTGTTGAATTGACATCTTGCCCGTCGACCTTGAGAAGAATGTCGCCCACCTGACCCCTTGTGTGAGATTCTTGACTTCCTTCCTATCCCTCCTCCTCCTCCTCCTCCTCCTCCTCCTCCTCCTCCTCCTCTCCTGCTCGGCACTCCTGCTCGTCTCCTGTCCCTCCCCCTCCCCCTCCTCCTGCTCTACCTGAATCATCCCCGATCTTTCTGCTGGTCCACCTGAGGATACCACATCAGCAGCTGCAACACAGGAATGAAGCACAGCAGAGGAGGATGGAGGAGGAGGAGGAGGAGGAGGAGGAGGTAACATTACCTGCTGCAAGTCCTTTCACGACAAGGGCAGTGGCTGAATTTCTCCTCGACTCCTGCAGGTCAATTTGAGAAGAGGCGCAGGAATGAGCAGCAAGAAAGCTCAATGGTAAGAAGGTAGATAAGACGGTGAATCGAGTAACAGGATAATTGGGTCAGGGAGGGAGAAAGAGAAGGAGGAGGAGGAGGAGGAGGAGGAGGATCGAGGATGCGAATGTGTGGTAGCTTCACCTTGAAGATAATTCCAACCCCAGCAGGTGAGGAGGAGCTTGGTGGCTGAATGGGTTGAGCTCGCGTAGGCACTGCCCCTTGCCGTGCCTGTAGCAGCTTCACATCAGCCTGGCACCCTCGCGAACAAGATGGGGGGAGGAAGAGCAGGAGCAGGAGCAGGAGCAGGAGCAGGAGAGCAGGAGCAGCAGAGCAGGAGCATGTGCAGGAGTGCTGGTACAGATGAAGCAACGCTGGAGCAGTAGTGGGAAGCAGCGGAGGAGGAGGACAGAACTTCACCTGCAACTCTGTGTAGGAGGAGGACTCCGGCTGGAAGGCTTTTGAGCTCGGCTCTTTGACTGAGGTGTTCTCTTCCTCTCGCCCTCCTGCACCTCGTCCGTTCACTTCTGTCTGCCTGCTCATCAACTGAAAGTCCTTGTCAGCCTCCTCCTCCTCCTCCTCCTCCTTTCCCCCTCCCTGCTCCTCCCGCCATCCGCCATCACCTGTGCCATCGATGCCGACTCAGGAGCCATGGACTTGTTTTGCTGCTCCCCTGTTGATAACAGTCGGCGAGAGGAGCAGACGCCAGGAGGACGTTGAGGAGCTGGCAAGGGATAGGGGGAAGGGGGAAGAAAAGTAGACGAAGAGGAGTAGTAGTAGGAGGAGGAGGAGGGGGGGAGGGGGGGGGGAAGGAGGAGGAGGAAAGGACGTTGACAAGGGGACGAGGACGAGGACTTCACCGCTGCGGTTCGAGATGACAATCTCCGCAGGCATCACATCCGTACGGAGGGGCGGCAACGCTTGTGGAGTAACTTCGTTGACCCGTTGACCTCCATCACCGTCTGCGGACTTCTCTGGCGTGTGGGAAGCGAGATACTCCGCTCGTTTCTTCGCTGCTCGCTCTGCGAGCACTCTGAATGTCAGGAGGAGGCAGAGGCGGTCGATGACGAGAAGGAGGAGGTCGAGAAGGAGGTCGTCGAGGAATGAGATGATGATGATGATGATGATGAGGAGGAGGAGGAGGAGGAGGAGGAGGAGGAGGAGGAGGAGGAGGAGGAGGAATGAGATGATGATGATGATGATGATGATGATGAGGAGGAGGAGGAGGAGGAGGAGGAGGAGGAAGGAAGAGGAGGAAGGAGGAGGAGAAGGAGGGATAGCGGGAGAGTAGTAGTTCTGACCAGCACGTCCAACGAGAGGAGAGTCATCGGGGGGGCTGGAGGACTTCAGGTCCCCGGTCTCCTGGCCGTTGTGAAGCGGTGGAGGAGCAGGAGAACTGCCGTTGGCCTGTGGGGCTTTTCGCAACGCAGCAATGTTTGACTTGATCGCGTCCACCCACAGCCCGCAGTCGTTCTTGCTCTCCGCCTTGAACGAGACGCCGCTGCTCTGATCGGCAGAGGAGGAGGAGATGCCGCGAGTGAGGCTGAAGCGGTCGAGCTTGTCGCTTCTCGGCAGCAGACGCCACGTGCGCAGGTCGTAGCTCTCGTCCTCGCCCGCCAGCTAGCGGAACACGTCTCGTCAGAGGATGCGGCAAGGGTGAAGTAATCAGCGAGAGGAGATAAGAGGAGAAGATGAGAGAAGAGGGGAAAGGAAGGGAGAGGAAGAGAGAGGAGAGAGGAGAGAGGAGAGAGGAGAGAGGAGAGAGGAGAGAGGAGGACAGAAGAGGAGGGAGGAGGAGAAGAGCATTGATGGTCGGAGATAGCAGATAGAGGTAGAACCCAGAGAGAAGGAGCAGGATTATTCAGAACTTACTGAAGCTGCTTGAAGAGGGCGGATGCTGAGAACACCGTCCTTGAGAGTAGCAGAGAACGCTTGCTGTATTCCCCCTCACTTACAGGAGGACAAAGGAGGGGGGAAGAGGGGGCTTGGAGGAGGAGGAGGAGGAGGAGGAGGAGGAGGAGCGCAAACCTTGTAAGGGTCCTCGAATCTCTTGTGATCATCCTTCTTCTTCCTCAGGATCCCCTCATACGAGATCAGGTCCTACCCACTGGTCACGAGCACAAGAAACGCCTCCTCCTCCTCAGGTCACATGGGCTGACGGGGTCGAGCCTCGATGGTCCGCTCCTCGCCTCTCCTGCGGCGTTGAGTTTCTCTGCCAAGGTGTACTTGTCAACTCTATTGTAATTGTTCGCCTTTGGCCTCCCTCCTCTTCCCCCCCCTTCCTCCTCATTCTTCTCCCCGACGTTTTTCGCTCGACGTCTGACCTTGTGGCTGTTAAGCAGCTCAGCAGGCGAAGGCCTGTTAAAGATGTTTCCCGTGCCCAGCGCGACTCCACCTTCTTCTGCTGCCGCCTGACAACTCACAGTCAGCCAACGCCCCTCCCCTCCCCTCCCCTCTCCTCTCCTCTCCTCTCCTCTCCTCTCCTCTCCTCTCCTCTCCTCTCCTCTCCTCTCCTTTCCCTCGCCCCCACCCCCACCCCCACCCCCGCTTCCACTTTCACCTGCAACTCTCTTCGGTTGGCGATCACCGACTCCATGTCCGCTTGACCCCTCGCGTCTGAGCAGGACGAGGATCAGGGCCAACGTGTCACTCGCACCTGCTCCCTCCTTACCTTGAGGTGTCGAGCCGCCGGGCTTCTCCTGCTTCATGGCCGTCAAGACACTCTCACTCACTCCACGCAGGCTGACCTCTTCCTCTTCCTCTTCCTCGTTATCATGCGCTCCCCACGACTGCTGCTGCTGTTGGCCGTAGTCGGAGGGCCGAGGAAGGGAAGCTACGGGATCGTACTCTTTGACCTCCACGCTCCCTATCTTCACGCTGTTGTTCCGCTCCCCTTGGACAGCTCTTCGATTCGACGGCGTACGAGGGATGGCTCGGAAGCGTTGAAGGAGGAGGAAGGAGAGGGGGAGGAGGAGATTTGGTTCAACGAAGCCGGTGACTTCAGCTGCTGCACTCTCGCTGCCGACTCAGCAACTTCACGATGAAGTGCGTCCAGTCTCGCAGTCAGGTCCTCCACATCAGCGTCCTCCTCCTTCTCCTCCACTCGTCCCTTCGGTAGAGGAAGCCCCTTGCTGATGCTGTTGCTCTTCTGCGCAAAGATATCCGACAAGTTGTAAGCCTCCTCCTTCCCGCCATTCAGCAGCAACGATCTATCCCTCTCCCCCCTTACTATGTCCTCGGTCTGTTTCCCCAATCTTCCCATGGGCCGCGCATCAAGAACAGAGGGCGACCGCTTCGCCGCGAGCTCGCCAGGGCGGAGGCCGAGTCCTCCAAGAACAGCATGAGCAGGAGGAGCGACCTCGTCGTCCTGATGCAACGACGGAGGAGGCGCTGAGTTCCCGACATGGGTGGGGGAGGAGAAGAGGAAGTCAGGCTGATTGCCCTTGTCGGGTTGAGCAGGCGAGTCCAGGCCCGGAGGGTTGAACTTGTCGAAGGTCACTCCCTTGCCGATGGAGTTGGACCCGGAGGCCTCTGGCTTCTTCTGCACGCACCAGTCAAACACGAGGAGCTCACGAGATGCGACGGACCTTTGACTTGCTGATGGGGAGCTGCCATCGCTCGTCCATCACCACTCCGTTGACCTGGGGCACGGATAAGACTCCGCCGCAAGATCGCAGACATGGCAGACTATCTCTCTCACCTGTTCCCCCCCTGCCTTGTCGGCACCACTCTGCTTGATCTGCAACACGATCTTTCCCACGGCGTGATGGGTCTCCGAGTACTCGTGGGCCTTGATGATGTCATATATGCTGAAGGTCTTGTCCACAATCACTCGCAGAGTGCCCTCCTCCAGCAGCGAGGAAATTATCTTCAGGTCGCTACTCCGGATCTGAGATCCTGTCAGGATGTGGTAGTTCTCTGCAGCTCCGAGCTTGTTGGAGATCTGACGGAAAAGATAGTCTGCTCGTATTTCCAGCATGCTACCCCAGTCCACACTCTTCTCATCTGCCAGGTGGCGCGCATTCCCAACCAGCGTCACGTACACGCCATTGTGCGACAAGGAGCCTCGGAACGCGCTCCAGTAGTCATCACCTCCCACCGTGTCGAGGATCACATCGAACTTGGTGAGGCCGGCGCTCTTGAGGAAGAACGCGTCAGTATAGTCCCAGGCCTCGTCCGCTCCCAACGACTTGACGAAGTCCATGTTCCTCTTCGAGCAGCTGGCAACAGTGTAGCAGTTGAAATGTCTCTTTGCAAGCTGAACAGCAAAGCTCCCGACGCCTCCGCTGCCCCCAAGGACAAGCACAGCCTTGTCGCTCTGCCTTTTCTTCTCCAACAGGTTCCCAACGTGAGCAAGGGACGAGTAGGCAGCGAGACAGGCATGAGGGACGGCAGCAGCCTGATCGTGCGAGAGGTTGGTAGGCTTGAGAGCAATATCCGAACAATCTACAATGCAATACTCCGCGTATGTTCCATTCAGCTCCCTCATGCGATCCAGAGTCTGGCGACCGAACACCTCGTCTCCAACGTTGAAGGGCGAGTCCTCCCCGTTCCTCACGATCCTGCCGCTGAAGTCTATCCCGAGGATGCAGGGAAGAGACAAGGGGCAGATGGTCGACAGAGTGCCTTTCCTCTGTTTGCAGTCCGTAGGGTTTACACTGGACGCGAAGACCTCCACGACAACCTCGGTCGGCTTCAACTTTCCCATCGGCAGTCGAGGGAGGTCGCAGAGCTGCGTCTTGAGCAGTGCAGGATTGCCGTAGTCAGGGAGAGCCACCGCCAACATCTTCGCTGGCCTCTCAGGGAAGTCGACAACCAGAAGCGCGTCGGAATCGCTTGCGATCGGCCTCGAGGCAACACACCCCTGCATGAACTTGAAGGTGTCGTTCAACCCCAGCACCCCCAACAGTCCCTGTTCGTTCATCTCTTGCTTGGTTGGAGGGCCTCGAGCCGCGCGCATGCGCGGGGCAAAGCTCATTTCAGCCATGGCTAGTGTAGATGCCAACTAATCCGGATTTTCAGCAATCTTCAGGTTCAAGACTGTTTTGATCCACTGCAAGAACAAATCAAGTCAAAAGAGAATGAAAGAACTCATAGAATACAAAGAACAGATAGCTTGCATCGAGTAGATTTGTTGCTAGCACAGGCAAACAAATTGCATGAGGGGAACTTGCTTTACGCCAGGTTTCTCGCATACTTAGTTTCGAGAAAATCATGAGAAGAATCGAGCAAACATTGCAGCGAAATGAAGACAACATGAAGAAGGAGATAGGGAAACATCGCAAGAGTTTGAGGGATGGCATGCAAGCTCTAGATCACGGGGTCTCAAATTTGACAGTGACGGTCGCCGAAGGGTTCAAGGAGAACAATCATGGTAATTCAGCCCAGCGTCTGAGGATACTGATAACGATTCGGGCATGCAAGAAGGAGCAGGACGACAATAACAACTACACCAGGACGTGAACGGGAACTAGACACAAACCGAAACGAGAACTGAAGGAAGATAGAAGAGGCGAGGGAGGAGGAGGAGGAGAATAGGATATGACAGGGAGCGAGGGGAACAAAGACAGTAGAACCGGAGGTAGAGAAGCCCATGTGACGTGAGGAGGAGGAGGAGGAGGAGGATTTCAAGGCCGGCATACCCGCAGCCACGAAGGCGAACCCCTCCTGCCATGTTCCAGCTCACTACAGGAGTCCTATATCTAGTTTTAAACATAAATATATTTATATATGATTTATTTGTCCCAATTTAAATACAGAAGTACTCTATATGCAAGTGGAAACATGTATTATTGATTGAATTTTAGAGAGCGGTTGAGGCGAGGAACTGATACAAATCTTGTTTAAATAGTAGTATCTTATAACCTTTTAAGTTTCTCATATACCGTAAAAATTGGGCCTCCCAGTTTTCAATTCTTTGCACTTATTTGTTGATACTTATCTAAATTTCAACCTTAAATAGAATCATTTCGAGTTATTTCCAAACCCAGATCAGCTTTACATTTCTTTTTTCAAGCTTCTCCCACAATTTGAAATCTGCATGTTTAATTTTAAAATATTTTAGGGACCAGTTGGTCTTGGAACCAAGATCAACGACCCTTCAGTGCGAACAGTCCCCCGGATTTCCCGGCCCGGAGCTCCAGAGCTCCGGGCTGGTCGGCAATGGTCAGCCATCATCCTTGGAAACAAGTCACGGCGACCAGAAGTGAACAGAAGTGAAGAGTCGCCGTAAAATGTTCAGCAGGACCGTTCGCACTTCGATGCTCTATGCGGGAAGCCAAGACACTGGCTCCCTGTATGACCCTGCTCGTAGCGGTGAGTGTCTTGCTCCAACCTCTCACGTCCTCCATTTGAAAGCTCTTGGGTGATCGATCTGTTTATTCCTATATTCCTATTCTCTCTTCAAGTTTTCCCGTCTGACCTGAGGATGTCTGTTCCTTGCAGATGCCTGCACGGGTGCCTCGTACAACTCCTGCAATGTTTCCAAGCCATTCTAATCTTAAACACGTGACCTCATGAAGCTCTTTCACTCGCGTGTATAGCTCATTGAGCCAACCCTGTCCAAATCTGCTTGTAGAGCTGCAACCTGTTGTAGCCAACACTCTGAATGTCCCTTTGATTGTGTTGAGCATTACTCGCCCTTGGTAGCAAGATATTTTCAAGCACAGTTTTGCAACAATTGTATGGATCATTCATGCTGATAGCCCGCATGTGGCCAAGTTTCAGCCTAGTTACTACAAGTCCTGAGGAGCAATTTTGCCATGTGATAAAAGAGGAGGAGCTAATTGAAGTACAGTGCAATCTAGTATGATTTAGGATGGAAGAACTGTTGATGCGTCAAGGTTCCTAACAATATGAACATCATCCATCGCATCTCCAGCACACTTGTAGAGTTTCTTGGTCGGTGATACAGTCACCTTCGTCCTTCGTGCGTATGTATGAAACAGATCCTTCGGTGAGATCTAATTTAATGTTTCAAATATTTCAACGGCGTGCTGTAGACTCATGTGAAAAAGGACCCATCACTAGCACCGAGATAACCCAGCAATGGAGCATTTAGTAGTCGGAACCGAATCCCATGCCACCGAAGGAGGTGTCGTAGGGGGGATCACGGCGGTTGTCCATGCCGTATGGCTGGGGAGGAGCAAAGTGCTCGAAGAGGTGGACGTTGCTGCCAGGAACAACCTTGGCATCACCGCCGGGGAGACCGTCGTCCTCAATGGGGATGGGGAGATCACCCGGTCCGAAGAGCTTCTGGATGCGGAGCTGCTGGACAGGGACGGCCCTCACGATACGGCCGTTGGGAAGTCTGACCGCAAGGAGGGAGCTCCTCTTGGGGTGCTGTCCTCCGAAGGCGACGATGGCAGCGACCACGCACACTGCAGCAACAGCGGCGATGGCTCCGTAGATCACCTTCCAAAAAAATGAGCAAACAGAACAAGGCACTGCGATGTCTTCGTCACCTTGTTGAAGTTCTTCCTCTCAAATTCGGGCTTGCCTTCCTCGATGGAACCATAAGACTGAGTCTGGAACAAAATTATATCAGTGTTGGAAGGACGAGTTGGCATGGTATATGTTGACACAAGAAAATTCATTTAGACCGAGGAAAGAAATCAGAACGGATCAAACGGGAGAGATATGTACATAAATCATGATATTGAAGAAGAGATGATATTCCACGAAAACCATCAATTGTTACTACATCATATGCATGGCTTCACACGATTTGAACAAAAGATTCTATCACGGCCTTGCATCATATTGTATCCACATTCCTTTTCAAATCAATCGCAATCATCGGAATCTGGTCAATGTGGCATTTTTAATGCCTTCTATTGTCAAAGAAAGCTGTCCATTATGAAGAATCCATTCCAAAAACCATTAGTCAAGAAAACCAGCTCAGTACATAATTTGCTCAACTGCACACAATTTCCATACATCCCACCATAGATTCATATATGAAACGACAGAAACAGAGCTTTAGGACATACTACAAGCACTGAATCCTCCTCTTCGCGACTAGACGTGCATAGATACTGAGATCCGTCTGCATTCATCGTGAACAACACTCACCATTGCGGCGGTTCCAGTTGTCTCTTCGTGAAAAAAAGAACACGGTTACATACCGTTACGTTCAAGAGCCAAAGGCCGGCGGCCGCGCTGCAGTGCGTAAGCGGCGGGCCGGGCCCCGGGCCGGCCGGGCGCGCGGCCGTCGCCGCCCGGCCCGTACGGTCACCACTGGGCCCGGGCCTGGCTCAGTGTCGGACCCGGACCTGGCAGCGCCGGGCCCCCGCGGGGCGGCTGAGCCGGCGGCGGCCGGGCCGAGCCGCCGTGGCCCGGCGGCTGACTCTGACGCCGCGGCTCCCGGCCTCCGACGGGCCGGCCCTAGCCTAGTAGGTGACTCAGCGTCGCCGTGGCCCGATGCGGGCCGAGGCCCCGGGCCCGCCGGGGGTTCGGACTCGTGCCGGTCCGGCGGCTACCGTACCGTATCAGTCGGACTGTCCGGGTCCGAGTCCGCCGTGACGGCCGCCGGTCCGTCACCGGCCCGGGTCGGCGGCGTCCGGACTGAGGCGGCGGGCGACCGGCCCGGGCGGCCCCGGTCTCAGTGAAGTACCGTACCGTACTCAACAGCCGTTGGCAAGCCTGCCTTCAGTCCGATACGGTCATCAACTTGCCATCATGACTGTGATCTGTACCAATCTCTTCATCACCTCTGTTGACTGAGTTCTCTGCATCCAGTCCGATGATCCTGATATTCAAAGGCCTTCAAGCCTCCGAGCGCCGTTCGCGGCCGCATCCGACCGTATCGGACGGTGAGTCACAAGTATCATCACTATCGATACCGACTACTTGGCATCACAGGCTGTGACTTCGCGTGACTCAGTGAAGCCTCGGAGGCATATTCTCAAATTTCCGAGTTCCTGGCATCATCGGCTGACTCTGACGCCGCGGCTCCCTGCCTCCGACGGGAAGTAAGGGTCTTGTAGAATGCCAACTAAAACAACAATCAATTGCCTAATCAGAGAGATCCTTTACGAGAAACAATCTTGACACCAAACAACTCTACAGTCAGAGATGTGCTCGAAGCTCAATCATACGAAAGAGGGTTGTGGATGCTTGATCACCAAAAACGAGCAAGTCTCCATCTTGCAATGCTCGGAGCATCAAAAGGATTGACGGCGAAAACAGCCCTAGGCTCTGGAATCCATGGCGATGCTGATTCCTACAGCTTCCTTTGAAAAACAAGCTCGAGCTGTTTGAAACGTCGTCTTGCAGTATGCCGCAAAAAGTACAAACATTCACACATGATCCAACCTGGAGCTTGAATACGATGAAAGAGCCATTGGCTGAGAGCCATCTGGGATTCAAACAAACGCCGCCTGCGCCGGCGGGTGCGGACAGTGCACGGTAATGGGGGAAGGGTAGGGCAGGCGATTTGGTTGTATATGCACCCCCCAGGCGTGTAAAAGCGTGTAAGGTCAAAAATAGTTTTAATGTTTGAAACCTTGTTGTTTGGAGGAAGCAAGAATACTTGTAAACCTAAAACTGCTCGACACGGTCCCCGATTCAAACATACTTTCAACCATTATCGAAGTTTCTGGTACAAATTTTCGGAAGTTCAGTGCGCCGACCATTCAAAAATCCTGGGCTGAGGTACCCCGCTCGAAAATGATCAAAAGCGAGCATCAGAAAATGCATGGAATGTCGTCCCCTTCCGAGTTCGCCATCCCGCGTAGAAGCCGCCCCCATCGTCGAGTCCCGGCCCCCGTCACTCAGGCTGACCGTACCGTCTGATTCCGGAGTCCGGGCCGGGGCCCGGACTCACTGAGTCACGGTCACGGTGATTCGATCCGCTCGGATCGGGCCCGCGGCGCGGCCCGCGGCGCCCGGCACTGGGCCGGGGACCCCGGCGCCACCCGGCGCGGCTAGTACTCACCGGGACATTGTCGGGGACTTCCAGCGGCGGGATGGCGATGGGGACGATGGGGGCGGCGGCGGCGGCGATCGTATTAGTGGCTCATAGCTTGATGCAGTCCATCAGACATGCGCCTGAGAACATGTGCAGGTACTTCCTCCTCCCTCTCTCCCCCTGTCGGCTGAGATTCCTTGACAGGATGACCTACATGATGCCCAACTACTACACGATCCCCGTCCCACATGCGAGCTGGGAGACCAAGTTGAGCTACTCCCTGTTGCTCTATCGCGAAGGATCCCAGCCCTTCCATGTACTATCCCATCGCTGCAACTGCCCGTGGCCTTGACGGACTCTGCAGAAGCGCGGGATTCCGGTTCTCTTCATTCCAGGGAACGCGGGAAGCGGGAAGCAGGTAACAGCACGATGAGCTCTCATGCTGACGACATGCGGCTGACACTTGCCATGGCATCGGCGACATCAAGGTGCGGTCCATGGCTTCTGAGGCGGCGAGGGAGCACGTTCGAAACTCGTCTCGCGGACACTTAGGTAACGTAGGGAGATGGGGTGGGGTAAAGGATGGCTGATGTCAGATTGACACCTACAGATTTCTGGGCTGTCGACTTCGAGGACGAGCTGTCTGCTCTGTCAGGAGACCTGCTCCTCTCTCAGGTGCTGGAAGACGATCCAGGAGTACGTTGAGTGACGAGGATCATGGCAGACTAAGTTCGTGTGCCGCTGCATCCCCTACATACTGGAGAGGTAGTCTCCCCCTCAAGGTGCTTGCGTGTGAATCGAGGTGCCACAGTTACAAGGAGAGAGGAATGGAGCCAGGAGGCATCGTGCTCGTTGCTCACTCGATGGGTGGCCACATAGCAAGGATCGTTGCCGGTTCCTTCTGCGAGGTGACCCCCTGGCCTCCCCTGGGCCCTCAACTTCCCTCTTCTTCCCGCGTTGGCTCCCCGTCCCTCCCACCCACAGCAAGCACGCTGTGATGTATGTGCCTGCAGGAGGAGGTCGATGTAGCTGCGGTCTTGTCCCTTGCATCTCCTCAAACGGGGCTACCTGTCGTGACTGATCCTCTCCTCCAGAGGTACCCCTACTTCCCTCCTCCTCTGCCTGCCCTCTCCTCCTTCCAATCCCATCCCCTCCTCCTCCTCTTCCCAGCATCTGCTCACACTATGCAGGCTGATCGACACAGGTGCGGAGCTATGGCGGCAGCATTTCTTCCCTTCCCCCTCCCACGGGGATGCGGCCGGCTGGAGCTCCTTGAGCTCGAGCACCCCTAGCAAGCGCTCCCAGCGGTGGGGTTCCTTCAATACCCCCCTCGTTCGTATCTCAAGGCACTGCAGCAGTTTGAATGAGATCGCATCCGTCTCAGTAGGGGGAGGGCTGCGGGACTTGCTCGTGGGCACGGAGCGCTGCGACCTTTCGCGCATTTGTCCTCCTACCCACTGCCTCTCTGTCTCGTCCACGGCTGTTGCAGGTGCGAGGAGGAGCGGGATATGGAGGGCGATGTCGGTGATGAGGATGATCAGGAGTTTGGATGCCGATTGATCATCAAGCGATCTTGTGGTGCAATCAGGTAATTCACTCCTGATCTTGTGTCCTGGAACTGATCTTGATCGTGAAGATGGTGGAGACTTTGGTTTCAGCGCTGTATTCCCTTGTGGACGAGGTGATGTTGATGACGACTGTCTTGAGAAGGAGGAGGAGGAGGAGGAGGAGGAGGAGGAGGAGGAGGAGGAGGAGGAAATGATCAAGCTGACGTTGATGACGATGATGGTTGCGACACCAATCATGATGCAGATGAGGCTAGTGGCAATGGTGATGGAGATTGAGACAGGAATGATGGTGGCTTTGTGAAGTCTTGCTTTCGATGCTCAGTTGATCATCACGGTTTCATCATCATCATCATCATCATCATCATCATCATCATCATCATCATCATCATCATCATCATCATCATCGTCATCGTCATCGTCATCGTCATCGTCATCGTCATCGTCATCGTCATCATCATCGTCATCGTCATCATCATCATCATCATCGCTGTCACTCGCTCACGCTGCGGCAGCGATCTCGGACCCGGTGGAAGTCAGACCAACAGGAGAAGTTTGCTGGGCTGAGAGATTCCTTCCTCCAAGGTGCTGACGTCGACGCGTCCTCCGCCCTGCTGTGCTGACGTTTCAAACCCCCCACAAGGCTCTTTCTTCCTCGAGAGAGCATCTTTCATGACTCGGAGCCAACTCACCCTCCCTCCCCATACCCTCCCTCCTCCTCCCCCTCCTCGTCCTCCTGTGAAGGACAGCCCCAAGGGCCAAGGTATCTGTTACACGACGAGTCCCACGACGATG